CTTCCACAGTTCTGATGTCCTCAAAGCATGTTGGACCTTTTACTACATTAAGAAGAACTCTCATGTAAAAAGTTTCACCTGCAGCTATAGGGACTCCATGTATCCTTCCAATACTTGAACCTTTTTTCCTTGGAACCCAAATTTTCTCTTTTTTCTTCCATACGAACTTAGATGGGAAATTTATATAAGTAAGGTTTCTTACTTCAGGATACAATTTGTTAGCTTCCATCCAACCCAAGAATGTTGACTGTTTGGTTGAAGCTCTTATGGCAACATCCTCAATAGTCTGATCCTCATCATAAACTATACTCTGTTGCCCAGGCATATGGAAACTTAGACGCTCTACAGAATGGGATCTGTAGTGGAGCTTAAAGTTAAACATTCGCCATGCTGCTTCATAACCGGAGAGATATCTACCCTCATACCAATCGCTAACTTCATTTTTTGGTCGATTTTCATACTCTTCTCTGTTAGGTTCTCCACTTCTAGTATACTGAAAAGAAATACGGTCAGATCCTTTATTCAAATATTTGAATAAATATTTTATAGCCCCAGCTTGATTGCACCATTCGACATTGATATGTGCATGGAATGTAAGGGTCAAGTACCAGTTGTAACCCACTACCCATCTGTTGTCAATTGTTGCACCATTTTTTTCAAATGTTCTGCCATCATTGCGTCTCATTTAATTAGGAAATCCATCTTCACCTATACTCGTAAAATCCTTGAATTTTTTGGGAAATCTCTCAGAACATTTCCCATGCACCACGCATGGATTGTGAGGGAAATCATCACCACAAGGTCCATGGATCATCAACTCAGTTACAATCTGATATAGGATTGGATCACTGAGTTTGTCGGGAAGCTCCACACTTATGAATTTATTCATATCTTCTGGGTTGGATATTTTATCATCCCGATGTAGCCACACAACTATGTGTGCATGTGGGAGACCTCTTTTCTGGTACTCAATAGTCTATACAGCTACATAAATTGGTGAAACAATATTCTGAGTTCCATGTTATACAATATGATTAAAAATTACATATGTAAATTATTTGACACATGAATTTAAAAGATAAAAATACAGCTGAATAAAAATAACTTGCTTACCTGCTTCTTGACGACCAAATACACGTTTGTCTTTAATGTCTTTCATCAGTCTTTCAAGTTTCATATTGAAAACCCTTGAAGCAAAATCTAGTCTATCTTCAGGCTTTAATCCCCTCTTTTTGCAGTACCTTGTAATTTTAGGCCATTTGTTGTTGCATGTAAATGTTAGGAAAACATCTGGGTAGCCGAACGTTTTGACTATTGTCATTGCATCAATATAGTTCTCCCGTTTCCATCTATCGCCTCCTGTGAAAGTGGATGGCAGTAAAATCGTCTGACCAATGTCTGATGTATCATTATTGCCTGTTTTGAGAGATCTTCTAATGTTTTCATAAGTTTCACACAGTAATTTTTTCTGATTTCTCTTCACAAAAAAAATTCGACCAGCTTCAACTGCACTGTAACCATCAACTAAAAACTGTTGGAATAACCTCCGTGCTAATAATAGCATGGTACCATCATCATTCCTTTCCATAATACGGTACGCAAACCACTCTCTCATACTTATCCATTTATGGGCCTTGTACTCTTCTTCCTCATTTTCATTTTCCTCATTATCATTATCGGTTTCATCATCATCATCATCATCATGAGAATCACTGTCTGGATCTCCAAGTTTTATATTGATTTTGAATCAGTCTTCACCGTATGGAAAAAATCATCGGGTACTGAAGTGCAAGATATGAAGGGTGCAGCTCATTTATTCTCTGCAATTCTCCAGACTGGTATTAAATAATAATGTCTCTAGTTAATTCATTGTCCTCATCTCCGGGTATTATAGATGACATTTCATCAATTGTTGGAAGATTGTATCTTCTTGCATCCGTTAATCTAGCACTAATAAGCTTAAGCTTTATCTCTGTTGAAGAGTTCGGCTGAACAGTGTCACGTACCTTTCTGTAAGTCTATGCTAGGACATTGTGTTCATCCAATGTATCCTTTATGTCACTCACAATCTGAGCATCTAATGTCCTTAAACTGTTTCCACTTTGACCAGAACTACAGTTCATAAGATGAATAAAAGAATCAGCTAACTATATCTATAGGAAACCTAAAAATTGATATTTAAATGAAAATGCATTTATACGCAGATAGTAGGAGATGTACCTGAGAACACCAATTCTGTTATTGACTTCATTTTGAGTGTCATAAATATACAATTGAGAAAACTTAGGCATTGAATCACTTTCCGGGAGAAGGCTACCCATTAGGTGACTGTTATGTCCTTGCATCTTGAATACGAATGGAGAACGACCATTGTTTATCAAATTAACAAGTTTACCACCCATGGAAGTGAATGCAAACATATTATTGTATGCTCGTATTTTCTCTAAAAAGTGTTTGCTCTTGTTATCATTAGACATGAACAACTCCTTTAACTTTGGAAGTGGTTACTTCAGTAAGGGGAGATGGATTTTTCCTTTTCTGCAACAGATTGAAAATGTGGGAACTTCTGGTCTCCTTCTTTTTTCTGTCCTCTCAGCATACCACATATTAGCCCCCACAGAATTTACATACATAATCTGGATCTCCCAAATCATCATAAGCTGCATGCACATAATTTTATGTAGAAACTCTTATATGGTGGTAACATATATTTAGAATATGTTATTTTGGATACAATACCTCTGTTTATTATATTAACCTCACTTTGTTTGAATTTGTATTTGTCATGATGCAACACATTTTTCTTCAGATTCAATCCGTATTTTTGCCTTTACTGTTTCATACCTATACGATTCGCCTTCGATGCTCCTGTATAAGGAGACCATAGTATATCATATTGACAAATGCATAGGTATGTAAAGCCTATATTTCCTGATTCTTTGTTTATCTTTAAAAATGGATCAATAATTGCAATTTTTCATATGTGTAAGTGTTTGAAATAATTTACAAACTGTAATTATAGATTTGAAAAAACAACGATTAGAATAACTGATATAAGGGGTAATGATTGCTCATAATAAAGTACATACCATTTGAAATGTTCATCTTCATTGCTCTAAGTGTATGAGTTATGGAACTTGCATGAACTTTATTGGCTATATAGAAACCACCCATTTTAATGTTAGGGTTTGTTTGAGCAATCTTCCCTCTTTTTTTATCTAACAATTCCTTCCTCTTCATTCTGGAATTCTTGTAACTCGTACTCCCATTGAAAGTTGAATATATACCTATTAATAAAGTATTTAATTTGATTTCTAAAATGTAACTAAATATATATTAAAATCTACTATGAAGTAACTTATTTTCATATGAAATTTCTTAATGGTGAACAAATATAACATACCTCTTGAAAGAACATAATCATTTGAAACTGATTGTTGTGTCAAATTTTCCCTCAAGACCGAATAATGATTGTAGTTTGTATGGATGCCCAAATGTCCACCCTGAATAACTTTGGCTCTTTTATTGTTTATAATTTGCCGTCTGATCCACCTAGACACCTTTGGAGTAATATTCTGGATGTTATTCCGTACAAAATGTTTGATCATAGGCTCTCTAGCAATTCTCGAAATCACCTTCGTTCTTTTCTCCTTTAAAATTTGTTTTCACTTCATTCTGGCTGCCTTTGCTTTCAACTTTTCCATTGTTGTATTGTTCTACAGAGGATGAAAATGTTTCTGTGAATTTGGAGGTTCTTTGAGTCGTAGGGTAGGGTATTTATCTGATGTTCGTAAATATTGATATGTTTGACATTTTTTTCTCAAAGGAATCTCCAAAAAATAATTCTGCATCTTATCATTGATTAGATAATATTGATTGTGACTATGTATTTGTGAACTGATCATTTTCATGTAATTAAAGAAATGATTTACTTAAATATATTTAACTTATATAGAGTGTTATCATCAATAATATACTGGTAAGGCTATTTTCATCTTATTTTTTACAAACTATAATGAATAATATAATAACAATATACATAACCTATCCAGTAGAAATATTATTAAAACATTAAATCTCAGTCTCACATCCCATGAAGTTATGTTAAAACATGTAAAATATTTTATAATAAAGAACTTGAAATATTCAGAAACACATAATTGTTATGAGATTATCAACTTTAAGGCATTGCAGAAAAAGTAAAAGTTACATCATTTTTCCTTGGTTTTACACTTTCGACATCCAACATAAACTTGCATTGACTTCCCAATGGGATATGATTATCAAGCATCAGACCTGTCCAATCCCCGATCAGCTTCAACTGGCAGACTTTTTTACCATAATGCAGTGGGTTGTATGATCTATGGAACTCCATATTATACATCCTTGCATTTGTATATATGACAGCTCAACTCTTGGTAATGATACTTCTATGTCGTCGTCATAATTCACAGGGAACCGTCTATGAAGACAAATGAAAAAAAAATGGCATAAGTAAGCTAAATATGATCAAATGCTTAAAAAGAATAAGAATATAAAATATTACAATTGCTTTATGTTTGCAGTGGTTATCTCCTTGGGGATGTGGAAATAGTCTTCCTCTGAATCAGTTATAGGAGCCTTCTGTTCAATTCCTTCTTTACTAAAAAACTGCAAAGTTAAACGCATTTTTCCAGTATATGTGAAAACTGTAAATTTCGATTGTTGTATCGTGTCTGCATAGTCTGTTAAAAGTTTATTCCATTGATACCCACTTATAACCAATCTGGCAGTATTCTCGAGTGGAGAATATGCTATGTGAATTATATATGTACGTTCCCCACAAACAACAGATCAGTTTGAAAAATAACCATATTTGTCTGAATTGTGTTCTATTATAAAACAACTTAATCCAATCGGTATGACCTGTATCAGCAATTTAAATAAATATCATATATTATGGCGTCATATTAATGTGGAAAGTTAATGTTTAGAAAGAATCAATATACAGTCCAAATAACTTATGTACAACATAGCATTTGGTTCTTGATGTTACTGATGTGATCCCATGCCATATTAGGGGTTGGACTATTGGTCATAACACGATTATTATCAAACACATAAACATCCATAATCCCTAAATCTCTCACATTAAAGTAGAGTCCCTGATTCAGAAGCAAATGGTTTGATTTCACGAATTCAAACCAATTATTACCACCAAGCCTCATGTGTGTCCAATCCTTATTAACCAATCCATCCACTTTGAACTCGTTGTTACTGATTAGTAAGATATCTTTTGATCTTATTTCATCTTTTATAAGCAAACCACCAGGCAAAGGAATCTCCTACATCAATTATTCAATGACGATAAGATAACTAAATTGTAGAGTACATTTAACCCTGAAAATGAAAAGAACTCTCTGAAGAAATTACAAACATACATACGAGTTGATAAAATATTACCTAAAGGTACCCAAACCCTAGTGCTACAATCACAAAACACTTATTTGACATTTCTTCCCTTTCGTATGATCGTTGTTCTTCAGAAACGTGGTTTGATTGGCTTAAGGATTTTGTAAAGGGTGGCTTATGTTAGTTTAAAAGGTGGGTTTCTGGGAAGTTATATATATATATATATATATATATATATATATAAGGTTCTACCTAGTTTTTAGGGATCAGAAGTGATTATAACGTATTTTCTCCTTAAATAATTGTCCAATTAACTGTTGTATTCACACTCTACTAATAAAGATGAACTTTTTTTATTTATTTATTACAATAACATCAATTATTGAATTTATTCATTTTCAAACTCTGTATGTACCCTATATGAATTTATTCCTTTTAGTAATTATATTCTCCTTTAATAATTGGTCTTCAGAAACGTGATTTTGATTGGATAAGTACATATTGTTTTTAGGTGTAAGAAGTTATTATAACGTATTTATCCTTTAATAATTATACATAAGTACATATTGTATTTTCTTAATTCTCCTTTAAATTATTACATATAATACAGAGATTTATAATTCGCATTTAGATCAAACACTATTAAAGCATATGTATATTAGCAAAGGAATAACCTTCTAAATCATAAGTTTGAATTCAAAAACACCATAAGCACCAGAACGATGTCCTGATAATATTTAAAACTTAAAATCCCATAATAGAAAAATCTGCTAAGGATTACAACTTCATAACTTAAGTGCAATTTTTATTTGCAAAATAAACCTCAAAAGCAAATCCGATCATGATGATGTATTCGTCAGATCTTCCTAACACACTTGTTCTGGTGGCTCTTGACGCTCTCAGCATCCTGTGTTGGTTTTGTCTTGTTTGGTGGGGGGTTATCAGCAGTGTCTTCCAAAGGATTTCCATATAAGGTATCTTTGCAGTATTGAGCCCAAATTCACCGGTTTTTGGATCTATTTCCTGCATTATTACTTAATAAATCAGCTATTGACACATGAAGCCAATCTACAATTTATAGCTGTTGACATGTTAGAAATAAATAAAGTGAAGAACGGTAAATGTTACACGATAGTTACCTGATCTTCAGATAGAGCTTCCAGGTATTGTTTTATAATCACACTTTCAGTAGTAACCCTAGCAACTGATATTTCACTATCCCTATTCCTTATATTGAAATTTGAAACATCAAGATTGAACAAACACTTTTTGCCTTTAATCTCATCTAGCTTTTTGGGATAATATACTCATGGTTCCTGGTATTGTGTATTTTCTATTAGATCTTTGCGCATAAGAATAGACATATTCTAAATGATTCATACTGTAAGTAATCATGTTAAGAAAATATATACACCTAATTATTACATAAAAGTGTTACCTCTTCAAGGAGTTCAGAGGCAGTCTTGTTAATTAAATTATAAACTTGTTTGTACCATAGAGTTACTATACCATTGCCTGATTCATCCACAACATATGCCTGTAGCTTGAATCTGTCTATAAATTACCCAAAAAATATAGTACTCATTAATTTATTGTAATACTATTTGATATATAGACAAACAGAAACGATAAAACTCATATAGGAATTATCTTACTTTTGAGCGACAACAGAAACAGCACCATTAACCTTCAGCAGAGTTATCACCATTAACCTTTTTCCCCTTTCCACGATGTCCATTTTTGGCCAATCCTATGGACTTGGTTTCAGTGTCTTTCCCGATTTCTATCACCTACTTGTTGCATTCTCTACAGCCTAAGTAGCACCACTCAAACTCCTTGACCAATCCAGTAATCTTAGCAAAGGTAACCACATAGCAAAGCTGTTTGCATTCAGAGCAACATTTTAGTTAGGATTTATACCATCCTATGGAAACATGTTTGCAATAACAGAACTGAATATGTCATTACCTCCTCTAGATGCTTGATCTCAGAGAGAGTTAACATTGTTGTATCTTTGACAAAGTCTTCATAAGATTGTATCCAAATATGTTAGACAGAATAGAAATCCTCTAGTTGCTTGCATCCTTATCCTCAATTTCTTCCAATCTGTCAAACGGAATAACTCATGTAGAAATAGGTATTAAATTCTTTTGGCAACAAAAAATGCTTAAAGCCAGACATATTTCAGAGTACCTCATTTTATAGTCTGAAATAGCAAGCATAGACATGTCATTTAGGAATATGCCATTGTACATATTAGTGATAACTGAAGCCCTTGCTGTTAAGATTTCAAACACAATTTGAGAATACAGTTGAAAATCAGGCATTAAGATAAATAAAATTAGTTATAGGTATGCAACTAAAATTTCTCACAATTCCAACTCTTGCACTTCACATATTGCACAATAAGCACTACTGGCAATGATGAATCATCTTCCATCATTGCTAAGATGGCATCAGCATTTCCATTCTACAGAGTGATTTTCAACCTATCAGCCCTATTTCATTTATGATACAAATTCTAATGACAGTCTGTTTGCGATCATTTAAAATTGTAACTGAAACATTTAAAGTATATACGTTTGTACATCAAATTCTGATCTCGATAAACAAATTAGATTTCAGCCTATGCCTTTCATCCTCCATCTCCACAGTTATCCTCTTCTTCTCCCCATCAATGATTGGCTCACTAACACCAATAATGTGTCCAATAACATCTGCATAAAGAATTGGTATTAGAATAATCACTTAGGTGATTATGTAAAGCATTTTATGTGAATAAAATTGATAGAATCATGAAAGATATATACCAAAACAGAAATCAAAATTTGTCATCGAATGGAGTGAAATCAAACACATGCTTAGGAATATCAAAATCATAAACCGTTTCCACCATAGTGTTACGTTCAAAAACACGATTTTGTATTTGTTTTTCAACAACGGTAGCTACCAACAATGTTCAGAGCATGATTAAAAGAGGATATTTGGCGCGCACAACCTTCTTTGAAATAGTTTATAAACGTGTCCATTTAGCTTTTTGGATGGTGGCATGTATGTTTCCACCATAAATTCCATAAAGAAGTTAATATACAGTAAACTAAATGGTTTTTATACATTTCATAATAGTTTAAGACTTAAAAATGCGAAATATATAATACCTGAGCATCAATGAATATGAGTTCTAGCGACTTGATTTCTTTCTGATCTAACTTCATGTACATCTTCCAGATTGACATGACACGAACAACAATTCTGAAGTGTGGGCTTTTGGTGCTGATCAAGCCATTAATGTCTGCTATATACCTCTGAGCAGCAGCCATTGATTGGTAATGAAGAGTAGGGGAGGTACGAAATTCTAAAAGGGATCTTTTTGCGTGATTTGATGGTGGTTCATTGGTGGTTTCTCCTCGGGTTGTATACATATATTTATACAGGTATTTGATAGCCTTGATAAGCATGGTTGTTTGATGATCAATGGCAAGTAAATCTATTTTGATTTTGAATACGATGGGATATGCATTGAGAATAGTTGGATATATATGCATAATATTGGGTGAAATTTGAATTTTGATTCTGATGATTTTTTAAATAAATGTTGATTGATTCTGCACTCTTATTTAAGTATATACATAGATAGATGGAAGTATTACGTCTGCTGAATTTTTCTGATGCTTATGGTGGAGAATGCATCTGGACATCAACAAATCTTGATTCATTAATGCTTACTGATGGTAAGTGTAAATTTTACCCTTTTTCGTAGGGATTTAAATCAGCGGCCGGTAATTAGCACGCGTGATTCATTCAGAATGATAATGGTAGTGTTTGATTTGATCTCTAATGTAACAGTTAAACGAGTGTAAATCCCTTAAATTGGAAATGTTTGTGAATATTTATATTTGAATAAATTGAGTGGTTGGTTTTTTTTTTCCCGGATGAAATTTCCTGCATAAGTAGAACGCCACGTGTCGGTTTTGTAGGGTGTATATTTCATTTTAGCGAGAAGAAAAAAGCTGTGTGAAACTTATACGTATCCTAAGTATCATTTGCTTTCAGAAAGTGTAAGGGGATATGATACGCTCTTAAGTGACTTGATGAAAAAAATCATCATGTCCTACACATAGGGTAGGCCAAAAAACAGAAAAGGAAAAAAAGTGAACAAAAAGAAAAGTAGAGAGCGATTCTTATCCTATTTGCGAACTAACCCTAATCATGCCGCCGCCTGATCCGAGAAGGTTTTATCAGATCAGATCCGAAAAAAGTTGTGAAAAAGAAATGGAAGGCATCACAGAGGATCCAGTGGTGCGGAGGGTGGATGTGTTTCGAGATAGGGTGAAGGGGTTGGGTTTTCTGCTAATTAAATTGGGGGAGCTGCTGAAGGTTGGTGGTGTTGTTGGCAAGGAACAAATCATGGATACCAGGATTTCAGGGAGTTAGGTTCAGAGACAAATGGGTTATGGAGGAAGCTTCCAAAAAGCGGGGTGGCCTTTGACTGCACTGCGTGCTTACCTGATCAAGTGATGGTGGAAGATATGGTTGACTTCCTAAAGTCTTTGATAAATCACCTCACAGACATCTCCCTCAAGCTTCTTCAACCCCCTCCCAAGGAAAAAAAAAATCCCTCTTCCTTAGGTTTCGACCTAACTATGGCACTGTAAAAGGTATGTTTGCGGAAATTGATTACTTTCAGTCCTTGCTTAGGAATTTACTTGCGCTAGTTCGGGAATTTCAATTGCCTGATTCATGATGACGAGGAGGAGAGTGATGATAAAGCCTCTCCCAGAGAACATTTTTTCCCTTTGGATATCCTCTCTTTTGTTCGCCCTTCCTCCTCTCATTCAGATAGGTCCGGTTTCAAACTGGAAGTTTATTCCATGGGGCAAATTGTGAAGGATCTTGTTCATCCCTCTATCCAAGAACAACTGCTTATGAAGCAGATGTTGATGTGTATTCGAAGATGGAAGGCTAATCCTACTCCTAATAGTTCTCATTTTCTTTTTAAGGAAAAATTGCTTTCCCGTGTCTTACATCCGGCTGAAGAGCTCAGGGTTCTCGGTATTTGTGAGAACAAGATGAGAGGTAGTATTTGTGATGAGATGAGCAGTAGTGCTGCCTTGGCTCTTGACGTTGTCGCCTGCGGGTAGGTAACCCCTTCTGCAACACAAGAACGGTCATGGAAGATTTGTTGATTTCCCTAACGTGCGACTCCTGGAAAGACATGAACAAGTACAAGGTGATGACCTGTACTCTCTTGCGTTTGTCACGGCAGCTCTTGGGTGCCTTTGGAAAGAGGACGTTTTTAATTGTTTTGGAGCATGTCTCGAATATGACTGATTTGGACAATCTCTTCATTAACTTCCCTATCTTCTCACACACTGGCAGTAGACTCTTGTTTACAACTTGTATCCAGTTCAATTTGCTCAACACTTGGATTATCTACCCCTACATGCCGAGTTGTTCACTCTAAAGGCTATCTGCTCGGAGACGTGGCAAAGAGTTTGTTTATCTTTATTTCATTTTCGCCTCATCCATCGTTGTAGTGGCGCTCCTATATTATATGTTCAATCCCCTAGAGACTGTTTTTGTGGTCTTAATGCAAACAAGTCTTTTGTTCTCTTCCTTGTTTAAGGCCTTACTTATGCGCTTCCCGAGTGTTTTTTTTTTTTTTTTTTTACCTGTCGGTGTTAACTTGCTGGTGATGTCATTATGGTCGTGTGCTTCAGCAGCAGCTCCCTATTGTAGTTAGTTTATCCGCTTCATACCATGGTAGAGCTTTCTCTTGTTTCTTGTGTTACTATCTACTATTTCAGGGCAAATGGTTTCCTAACAAAAAAATAATAATAATAAAAGATAGGATACTCTCTTTTATATATACATTTGTAATTGTGTTTTATTCCATAAACTAAACTTAAGCAATCTTCAAACTCTAATTAGGTAATAAGTTAAATAAACTTTTGATCCACTCTACTAATTAAACTCTACTAATAACTCTACTTACATGGCAATCTAGTTGACTTATTCAAATCACTATACAAATTAATAATAATATCCTACTATATTAGAAATAAAAATCCCTCTTTCAAACACCTCCTATGATTGCCATGTGACATAAGTAAAGTACTAAATTACCCTTTTGGTCAACCATAACTAAATTACTAAATCCCCCTTTGCACTTTACGTGTCACGTTTTTTTAAAAAAAAAAAAAAATTTCTTTATGTTTTATTCAATTAGAGTAGTTTTATTTTCTTAATTATGGAGTCTAAATTGAATTGATCAATTAGGTTTTTGTTACAAAGTGTTAATTTTGTTTTAAGTGTATACCTTTCGGATGAAACTTATTACAAAACTATTAAAAATATCCAAAACTAAGTATTGATTTGGCACGACCAATGGAGAACATCAATAAATCATCTTACTAATATTTAAACTTATTAGGATACTTTTATATTTGTCTAACATTTACTTCAACACATATATTTGATTAAGTCTATTTATATTTAATAAGTAACACTTATAAAATATTTCTAAAACATACATGGCGAAATACAATTTATTTTTTTGTTAAATACAAATATTTCTATGATCACACTTATAAAATATTTCTAAATCCTTCAAACATTTCTAAAATATATCGCTCCAAATACAATTTTTTTTTTTCAAATATAAACATTCTAAGATCTACAGATAGACTGGGCCAGGGTCGCGCAATGCGCGACCAGACATCACTAGTTTAATTAGAAAATAAAACCAGTATTTATCATCTTTATATGATGTTTTTTTCTTTTCCTTTTTCTTTTTATTACTTTGCAAACGTAACACTGGATCAAATCCTCTATTTCCATCCTTGCCTTCTCGTTCTTCCTATCATGGCCAGAAGCTTAATTCCCTAGGGCTAACCTTGATGCTATAACTTATTGATTGGCCGTTTGATTGTGTCGTCAAATACGCAATTTCTTCACTAGTTCGATTATTTTTTATTGGCACTTCACTATTGGGGATTAAATTCATGCTTCAAAATTATTTCTTTATGTGCCAAACAATCTAAAGAACATTGAAACTGGAGAAGAACGGACCCTTCTTTGACACTAAAAAACCAAACCAAGAAAAAGAATGACCTAATTTTGCAGAACCATGAAATCAGCCAAAATTTGGTAGATCTCTCGAGTTTCTGGAACCTCAAACAATTGGTGCGGCGCCACAGAGACCAGTAACCAGCATAAAGATTGGCCCTTTAGAACTACAGGTAGATTGGCCTTTTAGAACAACAGGAGCTGGCCGTCGCCGGGAAGAACGAGAAAGTAAGGGAAAAAAAAAGAAAGAAAAAAACATAAATGATAAAAATTGGTTTCTATTTTCTAATTAAATATTACTATAAATTTTGTATGATGATGTGGATAAGCCAATTAGATTATCATGTAAGTAGAGTCACTAGTAGAAATAAATTAGTAGAGTGGAAAGTCATAACTCCTTAATGTACACGAAAATACATGAAAACTGAAGATGTCTTATCCCTAAAACAAATGATTTAGCAAAAACTAACACAATAATATTTTATTTGATAATATGCAAAGATACTTCACCATAATAAAAAACAACAACTACAACCATTATTTCACGTTTATGAAACACACAAAACAACTTCCACGTACTATTCTCCTCCAAACCATATTGAAACAAAACACATAAATTACCACTTAATGTTGGAAATTTTAGTTTGTAAAATAAAATAATTAATTTAGAATTTAAGGATAATAATTTCCTTAAATTCTAAATTAATTATTTTATTTTATAAACTAAATTTTCTAACACTTAACACGCAAGACTCCATTAGAACAAAACACTTGGAAACTAACGCCGTCGCGGATTCAAAGCCGTTAGACGTTGTAGAGAGCAGGGGACAAGCGGGGAGTGACAAGAAGCGGAAGTGGAGTGGCTTTGTGGTTTATAAGCCCGGCTGTTTCCGTCATGTCGACCGGTTTCCCAGCCGGAGTCGAGAACTCGAAAGCATGCAAGGCACTAGCCAGCACAAGGTGTAACATCTGAAGTCCAAAAGTGACACCAGGGCAAATCCTTCTCCCACTACCAAACGGGATCAACTCGAATTGCTGACCTTTGACATCCATATCCTTGTTATTACCGGTAAGAAATCTTTCCGGTTTGAACTTCAACGGCTCATCAAACACGTTAGGATCTCTGTGGAGTTTCCACAGGTTTGATATCAGTCGGGTTCCTTTCCGGACACGGTATCCACCGACGGTGCAATCCTCCGTGAATTCTCGCACTCCTCCTAATGCAGCGGGTGGATACAGACGTAATGTCTCTTTGACAACTGCTTGAAGGTAAGGTAGGTTTGGAACGTCGGATTCTTTCACGAATCTGTTCCCGCCGACTTGATGGTTCAGTTCTTCCTGGACTTTTTTCAGGACTTGTCGATTGTTCATGATCAAAGTTAGCCCCCAGATTAGTGCCACTGATGTTGTGTCACTGCCACCAGCTATTAGGTTCTGTCAAACCAAATGATCAATCTCGTTAAATTTAAAAGAATTAAAATGAAATTGATGTAGTATATAGTAGTATCAGGTTTAATTTGACCTTCCTTGCTTAAAAAATATACGTACTAAATAAATAAAATTTGTAAAATCATTTTGTATCCCATGTGGATGTTGTACGTTATACAACGTTTGACTAATCCGAAGCAATTCTTTGTTTATAATTTTTTCTTATTTTTTTGGGTCTGCAACTCTACATCAGCTACTCCAAAAGTCATCATCAAAACTGAGACTTCCCTCCCTCAAAATGACGTAATCTAATTGACTTTGTGTGATGTTTGTTGTAAATACATCCAATTTGTTTTTAATCCAAAAAAGGAAAAAAAAAATAAAAGCAAACAAGCAAACAAACAAAAAGCAATGCTTCTCTCCCCCTCTATTTTTGGGTTTAGTGTGTATCATATAGTGTATCATAATATTCCTTTATTAAGTGTAAAAAATGTAGAGATTCATTTTTCCAAAAATTATGAAACTAAAGATCCACAATGTTTAAATTCGAATTATTTAGATCATTAATTTTGGACAACTGTCCAAAAATAATAATAACATGTGAAGGAGTATGTACTATTGAATACGGGCTGACAAATAGGCGAAGAAATTAAACACGGAGCTAGTTCCGGGTTGTATTTTATGGTGAGAGTGTTACTTATAATAAGGGACTTACAATGCTTAAATTCATATTACTCATCAGCTCATTAATTTTAGACAACTAGTCCAAAAATAATAACATAGTGCGAGTAAGTAGTAGTGAATACTGACAAGAAATTAAATATGGAGCTTAGTTCACGTTGTAATTTCTGAATTATGCTGTTTTTTTAAGAACCATTCACAAACTACAGTGAGTTACTTTTCTAGGACAATAGGAGTAATAAAATACTAAAAGAGAAAGGAAGAGAATATCATACTATGCAGGTAGATTTGATGATTGTGTCAGCATCATAACTCGCAGCATTATCTGCCTTTTCAAACAGTGAGATCATCACGTCCATGAAATCTCGACCACCGTGATGATCGGTAGTAGTAGTAGTACCAGGACTCCCGTTACTGATCTTTCTCTTTTCCCGATGCTCTTTCACCCATGAATCAGCAATCTCATCCATTTCTTTGCTAACAGCTTTCATTTTCTTTTCGTACCCTCCCAAATCCAACCACCTTAACAGCGGAATCAAATCGGACGGTACATACAGTCCGGTTAGCCGGAAAACCTCCCGCAACGCCTCCTGGCATCGCCTTGATGCTTTCTCATCTTTATCATCGATTAAACCGTAGTACCTCTTCCCTGCAACCATTCTCAAGATTATGTTTAAAGTCAGGTTTCCAAACCATTTATTCATTTCAACCAAAACAAACTCATCATTTGTATCTTTATTACGATGATCAACCCAGAACTTATAAAGCTCTTTGATGGAAGTCTCAGTTTCAGAAAATCTGACATGATTGAGGAGCTGAAGGCGGTGTGCGGAGAGTAATTCTACGGAGACAATTTTTCGGATCTCGCGCCAATACAGGCCGTATTCGGAGAACCCGAACATGGCACCGTCATAACCTAGGTGTTTGCCTTGGATGAATTTAGGTCTAGTTAATGCGACCAAATCTTTGGTGGCAAATAACTCTTTAATGACATCTCTATGGCTGACAACCAGGGCCGGGTATTTCCCGAGTCGAAAAATAAAAATCGGTCCGTATTTGTCAGCCAAGTCTGAAAATGTCACATGCGGTGGTTTTAAACCGCCAAAGATAAGGTGGAGGTGACCTAAGATAGGCCACGCTTCGCAAACTTCTGGCGGTGGTAGAGATGTGCTTTTTGCGACACTTTTATGTCTAATAGACTGCCAGCGAAGCAAGTAGAGTGAGATGAGAAAAAAGAGGAATCCAATGAACATTTGAGGGAGTAAGGGGTAGGGAAACAAATTCTCCATAGGTTTTTTTCTTTATTTATTTATTTTTTTTGGGTGGAGGATGAAGAGAGGGAATGAGATTGAGTGTAAAGTATAAGGGAATTTATAAGAGGAGCTTAATCTGCGATTAATTGAAAGTAAAGGGTGGGTGGGTTGCAACTAAAATACTCTATATATTTTGAAAATATATGTTCGAATCTCGTAAGACAAATGACATATCGAGTATTTATTACCATCAGTTTTCTTCAATAGTTCATATTGATCTAATTTTAATGATACGAGGGTGAGGCATATAAGAGTCATATCTGGTGTGCGATTTTGGATCTATTATATAGTACATGCATTTGAGTTTTCTGTAATGAACAATGGAGAAACCAAAGAGGTAAAATAAATTACTAACATACACATTTAGCGAGTGAAAACCATACCTATATACCCCAGTAAATGAACAATGAACAATGAATGTTATTGTTGTGTTGGTATTTGCACCTCCGACTACAAATAAAAATTTTAAACTAGACACTAATTTCAAGATAAGAGTAATAAAATAGTATAAATTTAAAAGTTCAATGCTGACTTTTCTTTGAGAGAGAATATTATTAGAGCGTGATTTACTTTAACTATTCAGAATTTAAACATTAATTTGTATTAAACATGCTCTAAGAAAATTCACATGTCGAATTGAAGTAGAAATTGACGATTATCAACGATATCTATTTAGTTCTAACAAAGAAAAATAAACATGCTATAACTGAACTTTTTTACAAAGACAAAAAATAGTTTCCCAAAACTGAATTCACTTTAATATGAAAAGTTTTAATTTCCCATTCAATATCGATTCTTGTAATTGTATATAGAAACCATGAAGTAATTGTAAAAAGGCACTTCTACCACTCTCAGACCAATCTCAACTAGGTTCTTTTTGCGTTGCACGAAAAATGTAATATTAAAGCATAAAATACTCTTTTTGTTTTTATTTTTTTGGTACATAAAATACTCTCTTTAACTTGGATAATATGTTCGAATCTCGTAAGCTAAACGACATTTTGAGTATTTACCATAATTTTTCTTCCAATTGTTCACATTGATCTAGTTTTACTTTTAAGAGGGTGAGGCATAAGTCATATCTGGAGTGCAAAATTTGGATCTATTATATGCGCATGCATTTGGTTTTCTTTAGTGAACAATATTGAAGAAATTAAACAGGTTAGAGTTAGCTAGCCTAGACCCTTAATTAACTAACATAGGTTTAGGAGACAACACTTATGCCTTGTCGAGTGTAAATCCTGGAGGGATGGGGTCAACGGTCAAATTCGAACGCGGACCTGCAAGACAAAGATTAGCACTCCGAAGATTAAGTTAGTGCTAGTGATAGTAATCTCGCAGATGAAGCAAATTTCGTTAATGCAACCATCAAATAAGAAAGTACGAAGATAATTTGTCTATCCCGTGAAACTCAAAAGAGTGCGGAAAATTCACAGTAAGACGATCGTTTATCTAAGTGATTTCTATCTCTTAACTCAAACCAAGCAAAGAACACATTATCCATGAAAGATTCGAATTAAACAACAACCCACACTAAGAATAGTAAGAACGCCATTCAATATACCCGATCATTCATCATTCAAGAGACTCAAGAAAGGTAGGAGCAAACAATGCTCAACTATGAAGAAATACTATTGATTAGTAATCTCCATAACCAACCAAGATATGCAACACATACACTATCTCAAAATGCTTATGTCAAAGCACAACTTATCCAACAAAAGTAAGACAAACCCCACAATGGAACTCATGAACACACACATCATGAATTTGAACAACAAGCCAAAAAAAAGGCTCATCAATTGAACTACTAGAAGTAGTATGAAAATAAGAAGTTTTGTTTTAAAACAATTCTATCAAGAAGCATACTTGAAAAAGAACGGTTTCTGCAAGATCAAAAGATCCAAGACAAGATGAAAACTCTCTTGGTTAAATCATACTTGACACGAAAAATGGACACTCCATTTAACAAAAATTCCTCACAGGAAAAACTCTCAAAAGAGACAACAAAAATGACCACTCAAGGGTGCTTTGAAATTTTGGCCATCCCCCCTATTTATAGGCTAAGATTTTCGGCCAGCAACAAGAAAAGAAGATCAATTAAGACTCTCTAATCTTATCTCACAAGGAGTAGAAGTAGAATAATATTTGATCTCTTTGACTCTGTCTAAAATCTAGGAAACCTTATCTAAATGACTTATCCTCAAGTAGGATAATATTTAGAAGGAATCTAAGACTCCTAATCAAAACACTCTAGTTTAATTCAGTCCACATGACTTATTTAACTAGATAAAAATTCAGAAATTAACTCCTAGACTTAGAATAACTCTAATCTCAAAAATCATCTCCAAATTATTGAAGTAAAATGTCTTGAACGCCCTTCTAAAAGTGGAATATTTGTCTTGTGCCCCTCAAGTTGTAGAAAACTCCAATTTACTTCAAAACTTGTAGAATTCTCTTTATTGACTCTAAAAGATTGGAAAAACACTTGAAACAATTTAGATAGTTTGCAACCTATCCAATTGTACAGCAATGGACTCAATCTTGAACACTTTGATCAAATAGGCCGTCCATTCAAGAACCTAAATGACTCTTCTCACTAGCTTGATCAATGATCTTCATGGAGCACCTAGAGTCAAACTCTCTTGATACCCTTGAGCACTTATTTCTATGAGATCATCATCTCCTTTGGTTTGAACCCCAAAGTTAATGACATTCTCATCATCTTGATCATAGCTCTCTTGAACCAACTCCCTATCACATAGGTAGTCAAGATCCATCCTTTCTTCCTTGATTGGCCTGCAAAGTAAACTTAGCATTCCAAAACTAGAATGAAGGACTAGTTCATTCCCCTCACTAGGAGAATCACCATGGAAGGCTATATGATTCGCATCAGCTAGTGAGAGAAACTGCCAATTTACACACTTAGAGAGAGAAACGGAGTGTGGAATTAAATTGACAATAAATGTTCATGGGGTATTTATAGTTCTCAATGGGACAATACATGTGAGTCCCACTAAAGAAGGGGGCAAACTCGTAATTTTAGCATAAGATCAGGATAATGGGGCTGAGTAATTCTTTAATCAGCAAAGTGGGCCGCTAGGATCCTTATTGAGGCCCATATCTTACCTCCATTTGGGCTGGTCAAGATTGATCTCCATCAGTCTTCTGGAGTACAATTTAATTTCTTACAAAAGATGTTATGGTATTGTAATCTTTTGTCACTAATAATACGAAAGATTCATGCACAATTTAATTGACCTAAAACCAAGAAAAATTTAATTTTACAGTGGTTTTTAATCAATTCAATAATTTTCATATACATGTTAACATAAGTGACCAGTTTTACTAAAAAAACGGCTAATTGTCGAATCATGCCACCAACAATCTTTTTGCTGACATTGAATTAAGATTGTCTTCATTTGATAACCAACTTCTACCATCTCATCCTTAGACATCTTAAACTAGTAGCAGTCAATCTTAAAATAAAATTAAAGTTTCACCCAAATGGTTATACAAAAGGATTAATTCATTGCAAAACTGTACCATATACTTTCCTGAAGAAGGGCGAACTATCGTCTTTCGGACTCGAATACGCATGCATTTGCCTAAGGAGCATTTCAAAGGGAAAAGCAAAAGGAAAAAAAAAAAAAACAAATCAATGTAAGCAAATGATATATTGGTTTCCTGTGCATGAGATTATTATTATTATTATTATTATTATTATTATTATTATTATTATTATTGTATAATTCAGTTATTCAGATGGTTAATAAGAAAAGAAAAATTTATTGTAATTTTTGAATTATAATGTTTTAGTATATCTACTACTATATAAAAGCAAGAACCCCCAAACCTACGGTACTTTCGTCGTTGGAACTCTCATCAATACAACGAGGGTATATTGTAATTCAATCTAAAAATATTCCTTCTTTTTAAAGTCTGGGTCCTTTCGATCCATTTTCTGTTTCGGCCTCAACTTTTAGGCTTCAAGCCCATCTTCTGTTTTTTTTTTTTTTTTTGTTTCCCTTTTAAAATTGGCCAATTTTTTGTTCATATATGTAATCTTATTATCTTAAACAATTACTTTATGAATAAAAATATGCTTAATTAAAAAAAATGATACTCTTAGTGAAATAATATAATGAGAAAGTATAGTGACTGATGTGTACCCCCTATTTTGTTGTCACTTTGCCATTGAAATATTTTCTTTTCCCCCAAAATTACCATTTTACTGTTAATTATTATTGACACATCAGTTACTATGTATTTTTACATTTTTTTCACTATCTGTATCATTGCTAATTACCATTTGATAACTAATGCTATTCTCCACACACTCCCTCAGAGGTTACAAAAATTTTGTTCCCTATATTGTTATCCAAAAAAAAAGGAAATATTTTCTATGTAAAAAAAAAAGAAGAGAAACATTAATGAATTGGTTGATTGAGGTGGTAATTATAATTGGCGATAGCGTAAGTAAGAAAAATAGGAAAATATTTTCATGGAGTACAACATAAAGCGTTACAAAAGCTTTAATTTTCTTCACAAAATATGTCAACACACAATAAAAAGCAATACATAAATAATCACAATAATGGACGGTAAGTATGGATTATTATTACGACGATATCATAATTTAAAATTTATTATTTTTGAAAAAAAATGTTTGAATAACGCAGAAATAAAACGTAGCCAAAATATAATTTTAATTTAGATTAGATGTATTAAAGTGAAAAACACAACCCGCGAGTAATCGCGGGCAGAGACACTCTAGTTCATTACTTTAAAGAGCAAGATTTTCTTTAATTTCGTCAATAAAATACTAAGAAAATTTGGATGTTGAATTGGGATATCTTAACTAACGATTTCCTATGGTAATTAATTATTTAGTTTTAACCAAAAAAAAAATGTTTTCACAAATGAACCCTTTCTTTTTTTGAGGCACCAAATAGTTTGCCGAAAAACTCAAACTAATAATGCAACCAAAGCCAACACTAGTACTTGAAATAAGCTTAGTTAACTTTCTTTGCCGAGTGAACTACTTTCATGAATTTGGTGAGGTGGATAGGGATGGATTATGTTCGACAAAATATTTATTGTGGCAATGTTGTTGTTTTTACGTTTACCAAAAACAAAAATGTAACCAAAATATATCCACGCCCAATAAAAATCTAATAACTACTTTCGCCTAGGTATAAATATTTCAATTAGTTAAAGATCTAGTAAATTACAAAATGTCATTAGTCAGTATATATATATATTTTTAGTATACAACTATACATCATACGATTAGTTTAGGCTCTAAGAAATGAATATATGAGAGCCATTTCATTGAAGCATTTCAATAAATTTTGAGAGCTAGGACTTGGTGTAAAGTAAATAAGATAAAAAATGTACTCCCTCCGTCCCATAATTATTGTCTCGTTTTACTAAAATGAAAGATTTTATTTTTTGTCAAACTTAACTATATTTTACCTTAAACAACCGGATATATCCCTACATAAATAATTGTTTAACCACTAAGATTTTATGGATAATGTTTTTTACTAAAGACAAATGTGTAACTTGATCCATAAAAAGTCAAATTGGATAATAATTTTGGGAAAAATTTTTTTGGACAAAGTGGACAATAATTATAGGACGGAGGGAGTATTAATTAATAGTCATGGAACTACAAATTAACTAAAAAATATAGCAATTATATCCGCCACGTGACTTGCCATTGGAACCTAATGCTTTATTGATTCATTAGAGCAACCACCCCCAACACACACACACACAAAGAAAGATTTAAGATTGACTTAGAATTTAATGTCTTATTTTAAAATATTTAAAAGATTTATTTCTATCTCCATTCAAATTCGTTGAACCAAAACAGAGACTAAATTGTAATACTGGGAAAGGTTAAGGTAATCAAACCAGCAACAATTAGTCAAATTTACTACGTTTGACCATATATTTCTCTTCTTTTACGCTCTTTGAAGTTAGTCCATTTAACTGGCAATTAATTTTCGATTCATGCCAAATCAACAATGAAGATTATAATTTTTTTTATATATCGATCATTGTTTCCAAATTTATTATTAGCCGATGGTTTTAAGGATATTTTTAGTGCTTTAAGAAAAAAATAATTTAAAGAACGGTGAGCTTGAGATTCGGCTTTTGGACCTAGTCCTGAAGGGCCATAATTTGTCCTAAAGTATTATTCTCATAAGATTTAAGGTTCAAATTCATTGCAATAAGCACCATAAAAAAAAATAATTTCCGGTGATCTAAGAACCATCAATAAACCAACCAAAATCAAGGTTATTTATAAGTGAGCCAATTGTAATCCTTTTTCCTAAATATTCCTTCTATCATCATCTACCCAAAAAAAAAAGTCTTGAAGTGTTTTTCTCATAAAGAAATTTCATTTTTCACACAAATAATCCATCATTTTTAAGGAGGTCCTTTTTTTTTTTTTTTTTTTTTTTGGTCATACATTATTTACAACAATGAGGACACAAGCAGCAAGATCGTCATCTCTCAGAATTGGTTTTGTCGAGGTTGCACCTTCGCCAATGATTACCCCTAGAAAATCTTCAAATGCTCCAAGATTGGAGACCATTATTGAAGAAACTCCTTCAAAAATATTGTATCCTGCAGCTGCAGCTCGTGTTGTTGGAAAAGAGCGCTGCTGCTTATCCCTGTGATTATATCTTCTGCATCTTACCTCTTGATGAATAAACGTTCCATTATGTGAGGATGATGTCTCTTGATGAAATTTACATCTCTTCCTCGAGGCAAGAAACGACAAGGATCATAGTCTAGTGATCAAGGATCACAAAGAATTTGATCACAAGTTTTGGGATGGAGTTATATATACCAAGACGTGGGGAGGAGAATTCAAAATAGGGAAAAGTGTTCCCTTTGAAAAAAAAAAAAAAAAAAATTGAAAAGGAAAAGAAATAGGTCTCCTGCATAGATCACATCATTTATCCTGCAACTTAAAAAAAAAAGAAGAAGAAGAAGAAGAAGAAGAAATAGCATATGCAAAAGTACTCCATTTTGTTAACGGAAGACATTGGTAATTTGGTATAATGAAGCTGCCGGGATGGAAGACTCGCAAGATGGACTTGACGCTTGGCAAAATCATGGCGTTAATGTAATTTGTGTATCTTAGATGTGTTGTCGTATTACTTACTACTCGCTTTATTTTCCTTTCATACAAGGAAGAACATCATTTATGTTTTTTAATCCAATCCATTGCAATAACTTCTTTATCTAAAGAAGCAGCAGTGTAGATCATGAAGATCTAAACACCAATAATATATCAAGTACTAAGACATTACAATATTCATTTTTCAAAAAAATAAAAAGAAAAAGGAAAAATGTTCTATTTGCATCATAATTTTTTTTTCCCCCCTTTTGGGAATGGTAAATTTTGATGCCAACATATATAATTTAGCAGTTATTTTCATGGGCACATATGAAATTATTTGCTTGTGCAAGGTTTAGTCATTTTGCACCTTATGTTCAAATTTACTGCCCTTGATGTACCTGCTAATGTAGAAAATTGATCCGTGCGGAACTGCAAGTCTGGAACACAAAATATGGTAGTATACGACTTTTGAACATATTTATAATATACTTGAGCCCAATTGTAATACTTCCTACACACTTATAAGAAAAGGATTCTGACATTTTTGTATCCAGAACTGTCATCAAACGATCCACAAGCAACATACAAAATAGAAAAGGAAAAGATTTTACAGGACCAAGTTAAACATTAATTACATTCATACGACGCCCTTGGTGCTGCAAGAATGTACCAGAAGTTGCTGATAGTTTTAGGTCCAACTCTCGCACGTGCTGATGTGCCATATAATGGACCTAACAGACTAAATATTGCCCAACTAAATTTGGCAAATCAAAAAACATGACATCTATGAAACCTGAAATAAATAATTCAAGTCAATTCGGTGATACCCAAATCTTACTTCATTTTTTTTGTTTGTTATGTAAAGAACATAAATGTCAGACCTTGGATATGCAAATCTTACCCTAGCCAACAAAAAGTATTACGAACCTGACTAGAAAGTACGAATGTCATGACGCCACAAAACAGTAGATGCCTAACGAGATTTCTTCAGTCGTTTTGGAGGCCTTGATGTTTCTTTCTTAGACTTTTCTTCAACTTTCAAATCAGCATAGGCCTATAACAGTTGACATGAAATAGTTCAGAGACTTATCATCAAGAAACAATGCAAGAACTGAAAACAGAAACAACTTGATCTACCAACATGAGGAAAGAAAGAGACTCCATTATCATCATCTCATTATTTGAATCAAATATGGAAAAGACATAGAAACCAATTATAGAAGAAATTTGCGGGTTTCAATTCATTAACATCCAACATTAAGGGTACCAAACTCGCGGTTATACCCATTCATGATAGCACAAGCTATAGGGTCCTTATAAATATAGTAGGTGAACAACTGTTGATGGTGTATACACTTGATTACTGCAATTGGGTTAGTTTAAAGTATTCAAACTGACTAATTGGTCAGTCATGGATAGGAGTACCCACAACTTTCTTTATCATCGCAATAGGTCAGTTTAATGTAGTCATCAAGAGTTGATACTCTCGGGAGTGCAATCTATTCTACAGAAGCAGCTCCTGTTACGACAATAATAATCTAGGAGCTCTTCATTTAGATGTTCCATCACGTACCAATGGCTTTCAACCTAGGCTTTCATCTGTTATTGCATTGTTTTCCTACCGTATACATTCAAGGCAAAGTTCTGAATAAGCTGAACCAGTTCTTTAAGCTGACAAATGGACAACGCATAAAAACTACTACAGATTATTTTCCATTTCAAAATACAAACCAAGATTAAACAATGTACTATGGAATCATAGCAATCATGTCACTACTAAAAACTAACACAACTCACTTAACGGGATGCAATTTATAATACCTGATGGGTATTATAAAAAGAATGGAAAATGCATGAATTTTTGGCCACTAATTTCCATAGCTTTAACTGGTTAAAAATGCCACAGGTTTTGTTCATTGAAAATAACTGCAGTGTCATTCATGGGTAGAATTCAGACAACTAATGATGTATAATTATATGGATGATGAAGCACTGATTAATTTACACTAAAAGCTACATGAGAACAACAATTTCAATCGATCAACAACTATCCCAAACCAGGAGCAAGAAAAGGAAAGGCATGCTCGTGTCAAATTTTGATATCTGATTGACCCATCGACTACCCAACAAAACAATCAGCCCTCATGCAACGGTTTCTGCATCACAACTGAACTTCCACACAAATAAAGGCAGAGTGAAGCATGAATGTCAGCACTCAGCATCAGGAAGGTAAGTCTAGTAAGCTAACCTCTTCTGCTTTTCTTTGCATTTCCAAGAGTCCCTGGCAGTAAGCAAGGCACTCTGCATGATACACAGCAGCCAGATCTCTTACCAAGGCTTTTCTTCGGATTATACCAATCACTACAAGGAATAGCCCATCAAAACATGAGACAAACCCGGAACAGCGTAATGTCAATATTCTTTCAGTAAGACAAACTCTTTAAGCCGAAGCCAGGTAAAATAACTCCACATAGAAGCATTTTTGTCAGTTCTACAACATGAACAAACTTCCCAGAAAAGAAAGAAATAGAAGATACATGTTTTTGCAAAAACTTAATTAGACATATCCAATTGTACAAGACATATAATTCGAACTCATACACGCAACTTCCCATTACTATTAAAACCTCCCAGCCACAGAAAACCTCAAAATTGCCTTAGGAAGCAGCAGCCATCTGAGTTTCGGAAATCCCAGGTGGGCATACTTGCCAAGAAAGACAACATGCACAAAATGTCCAGCTTCTGAATTAAAGGAAGCAATCTCCTCCTTGAAGACTCTCTGCCCTAATAAATAAACAAAATGTTTTCTCGGACATAACCCCAAACACCCCCAATCCCCAACCTCATTATGAGAACAAATATGTAGCACGAATATGGTAAGAACAAAGCATTATGCTTCTAATTACCTTTGGGCGTGACTTCCCAAAGCTTCATTCAACCAATAAGGAACAAGTTGAATTTGAGTGACCAAAATCAAGCAAACAATTTATCATATCAAAAATCAATTGATCAAAAAGCCTCCATAGTCATAGCGAAGGAACCTTTAAAAAATAAAATAAAATAAATCGCCAGAAATAAACGAAGAAGATAGAAAAAGAGGGGCAGAGAGATATTTACTCCGGCTGGGATCGAAACGCTTGCTTCCAGACGCAGAAGGACGCTGTTCATGTGAAGAAGACGGAGGGGGAAGATCATCGTGTCCGTGGGATGAATTCGATGCCGGAATCGGAAGTGGCGGTGGCGGAAGATAATAAAGTTGGAGGTCACTCATCGTTCCGTCCTCCCAAAACACCGTTTCGGCGAGGCGGTTTTTCTCTGCTTTCTATTTATACTCTTTGTACAGTTGGACTTTTTGCTGTCCAGTTTCTTTTCTATTGTTATTTATCAAGCATTCCTTCAGTTTTTTAACCATTTTTTTTAATATTTTCAACCCACGTTTTTCCTTGTTTCCTTTATTAAAAAGACGATTTTCCTTATTATTCAATGCCAAAAAAAAAAAAACACACACACACACACACAGATAAGGGTCTCTATTTTACTGTATATTATCAATATCCAATTCCGATCGATACCTCTAAAATTATACTTACATTAATGATGATGATAGAAAGTTGTACTATCTATAATTATTGATAATTGCCCGTGAGCGAAAATTTTTAACAAAGCTAGTGAAATCAAACAAATTTTTGGTTAGAGTATCATAATTTAACTTGTACATCCTTGTTTCTTACCTCAACTGTAACGGTTAAATCTCAGAGATGCGTTTGCTAATTTCAAACCATCCGATGAGGGCTAAAATGCGATTTATCATTTCAAATTTGCATAAACTTACTGAATTAGCTCAAAATTCTATTTTCAGCAATACAATTGCAGAGGGAAATCGAAATGGTGGTCTCAGCACTACAACAATAATACAAGTACATTCTGACAAAGATGCATATCAACAATGGTGATCTCAGCTAGTTCTAAAATGGAACTCTGAAGCCACCAGATTCAGTGAAAAACACTCTTAAGAAAAATCTATATAGATGCCCAACCGAAATGTTCAATAGCTGAAATTGCAAGAGGGCTACAATTACATTGTAGAGGAGACCAATAAAAAAAAAAGGTTTTCAGAACTAGAATCCCTTCATAGGGTCAGCCGCTTTGCCAGATCTAGCATCGGTCCATGCTTTTGCAATTGTTCGCTTCATGTCTTCATCACCTTCCTCATACATGTTCTGCGCATGCAATTCAATTTTTTAATAAGTGAAGGTGGAAACACCAAGAAAGTTGCTTATGTAGCAGAAGTAACTCCCGAAATGAAAAAGAGTAATAGCTAGAAAGAGTCTTTACCTTCATCAAGTCCATTATTCCAGCCATAGGATCACGCTCCTTGTCCAAATTTGGCTTCAGCTGCAACAAGGCAGGTGTTAGTAAATAATAGTATCAGACACAAGTTGCATCAACTTCACCAAACTAAAGATAGGATTGTGGATCAATTACCCTGTCTTCTTTAAAATGCAGATCCAGCCAACTCTCTTTAGAGGCTTTGACCAAAGTGATGATGACCCTTGCTGGCTTCACCAACACCTTACATCTTTCTGGTACAATTTCTTTATGCAATTTAGGAATAGCACATCGATAATTTTTCCCGCCAACATCATGAAATTTCAGGTCAACAGACATTTTTTTGAAATCTGCCTCAATTTTTTCCTGGTCAACTCCCTCCAAAGGCACATAAATCTGAAATCAGAAGCACAGAGTTACTGACATAAGCATAACTACAAATCTTGAGTTACAGCAATGCGACATGATGCTCCATAGGGCAGTACCGGCCACTTAACAAAAGAAGATTAAACACTCTAGAAACACAGAAGCAGCCATTCACACAGCGTGTGGGGATGAGAACAAAAGGAATGCTAGCCAGTGAAAATACCATCTCAAGAATGTGAGAAGTTCTTACCTTCACTTTCTCGTTATCTTGATCCCAGCTGAAGGACCCTAGAGTTGTATAGTTTACGTTTGACGTAGCTTTTGGTGTAACAGCTATTGGTTTAGGAACTACTGAAGGTTGTGGTTCAGCAGCAAGTTTCAGTTCCTGTACACGAAGAGGCAGGTAAGTAACACTTCAAACAAGCCAACTTCCTCAGAAATAATCCACGAACAAGTTGCTGATCCACATTGATAAATAAAACACAGAAAATCCATCATTCATCAGCCAAATTCACAATTACTTAAACATCGGAAAAACTGTCAGTTGTAAAAATGTTGGAAACAAAGTAATTGAACATCATGTTATAATGTTCCATAACTCAGGCTACTCTACTATCCATCGAGTAAAAAGGGGTTTCTAAAACTTGAAAACATATGAACAATAAGATAGCAAAACCCCTCGTCTTTCGAGAATAAACTGACAAAGACAACTAACGAGTTGCCGAGGTTGTGACTTCCACAAGCATAACAAAGATATAATGATTACTTTATTGTTAACCAGATGAAGCAGTCAATCAGCTATGATCTTCATTTGATCTTAAAGTGAAGCAATCAGATGGAAACAAATTTCTGCCAACAATATAATACCAGTATTCCTTAAACATCAATCAGCTAGTTCAAAATTGCCAGCAATTTCACCTTGGACAACCCAATATTTAACCAAACTGAACTCTCTTAACACTTTTCCATCCTTAAGTACAAGTTCCTTACCCAGTGTACGATTTCAGCAAACTTAATTTTATTAGTATTAAATTCAAAGTAAATGAAGAGTAGCAGTACAAAAAACACTGCCCCTGTTGAATTAGATTCAAACGCCTCATATCTCTCCATAATTGCACTTTTCCATCCCTCTCCTAATCAGATTACAATTTCTTCAATCCCAGAATAATCAATTGAAAAGTCATGAAAACGAAAAAACCACGTAGCAACTGAACATGTAACGGCATAGCAAGTTATTGAATGCTTTTATCCACAAGAAACAACTATAAATGAGGCCATGGCATTTCTTTTTCAGCATCAAAATATACTTGATTTGCTTAGCATCAGACAGAGAAGTATACCACAATGTGCAGCGTTCCCAGTCGCAATTCAAGCAATAACAATAGTTCAACAAACGAAAAAAATAAATTAGACAGACGGAAAAAGAGAATAGAAGATTATACCTTCTCCAAGTTGAGGATGTCAGCGGAAAGAAGAGAAACAACGCGAGGTCTCTTCGCAATGCTCTGGAGGTGCTTGAGTTCCTCCAAATCCAAAGAAATTTCTTCTGCCATTTCGATTTTCGATTTTGAGACGAATTTGAAGTTTCCTTTCTGCAATTTGACGAGGGAAGAACAGGGAAGAGTCGAAGAGAGCACTGAAGAAGCTGAATATCACCAACACCGAAAAATACAGACGGTTCGACTTTAGAAGACAGCAGATTTCATTTTCTAGCACACTTTAGAAGGTTGTAGAAGTTGGCTGATGGGCTTTTCTTTCGGGCCCAATGCTCAAATGAAGGACTAGGACAATATAATTTTCGCTTTTGCTGAAAAATAACTAGTCATTTTCCAAAATACAGTTATATTCTTTTTCAGAATTTCTTTAAAACCTAAATTCATAGTAGAGTACATCTTTCATTTTGGGATGTAGCATAATCCAAACAAATACTCTTTCATCCCAAAATAATTACACTTTTAAAATTCTTACTTTATGATATTATTTCTGTTCCAAACAATAATACAAATTAAATTATGAGTTTTGTATTATACGAAAATAATCATGATTTCTAGCGCTCATAAAGTAAGCTAAAACCTAAACCATAATATAGGTACTATATACATCTTTCATTACATATACTCATTCCTCCTAAAATAATTACAATTTTAAACTTTTACTTTCGAACTAAAAAATAATCAACATTGAGGTTTGAGTTTTGTATTATTACGTACAAAACTTAAAGTTCCACGCATATTATTTTTTGGAAACAAAGAAAGTATAATTTATATTACAAATAATTTAAACTAAACAATTATTTCAAAACAGAAAAAATATAACATCATTTTCAAAAAGACACTCGGTCAACAAAATAGTTCGAATTCCTTGTAGACCTTTTTTTCACGTTTCCGGTCTTCTCTATAATCTCACTTTACGATGTTCATTAGCATAAATTAGGGAAAAAAAATCCTAATGCATAAAGTTAAACTGAATTTAAAGTCAATTTATGTCTTATAATAATGACCCGAGAAAATACGCTAAAATCAGATATAGGCTGGTCAGGGATTCGCAAAGGATTCATTATCCTCATTCAATTCAACATTTTTTTTTAATTTTATCATTCTTTTGTCTTCATAGACACTGAACACCACCAGATATGATGGATAATGATGGAGAATCCAGAGTGCAACAAAGAATCTTCTGCTAGAGATGTCTCGTTCAAAAAACTTACATTGAAAAGTAAATGTGTAACAATAAATTACAGATGAAAGAGAGAGGATCCTAATGGCTAGTACTTCTAGAAAAAAAACCAATCCTTTAACATCAAAACACATAACAGTGGAGCAAGAAGAAGATTAGAACATTTTCTCCTCACTGGAGTATCTGGCTACCGTAGTCTTCATTGAACTTGTCATACCGATGAGCATGGAGATGAGCAGAGGGCCGTGTGTTCTTCAAAGCTGCCTCTATGTCCCTAGGCGTGATTGGTCCAACTTTCGGCAACTCTAAAATATCAAACCAACAAACAATCAAGTCAATTGATTATAACACCGGAGGAAGAATGTAGTGGCAAAATGAGTTACTATTACAAGTTCCACTATAATAAAGGCACTTTGGTTCTAAAAACACTGCAAAAAGTAAAGTTACATCTAACAGCAAAAAAAAAAAAAAAAGGAAAAAAGAAAAGAAAAACCTCTCTACAGGATACAAAACTGTGAGGCAATAGAATGTCAACAAATAAAGCCATGGGCATCAGAGCAGAACATCAAATGATGAAGACATGCAATTTTTATGGGAAGACTGCAGATGAAACTCAAAACAAATAAAGCTATTGCATGCTACTCCTATACAAAAAGTTAATGCACCAGGTAGTGTCGATAATAAACACTTTTTCACGTACAGTTTTGTTAGGTTATTTTCTTTCTACTTTCCCCGTCATAAACCTGGAAAAAGGTTTCAAGAAAGTTTAAGGAAAGTCGGCTTACCGTCATCTGGCACGATTTCTAGTTTGTTTTCAAGAAGAGACATTACACGTCGTAGGGGCTGCATGGCTGCCTCTTTGCACAACAAGCGAATATCTGATCCAGAATAACCCTCTGTGGTCTCTACGAGCAAGTCATAAGGAAGATTCTGATCATCAGAGGCAGATGGTAAGAGTTCCTCAAACATGGCTCTCCGTGCTTCTGGTTCTGGGAGTGGAACAAGGATCTAGCACCACAATACAAAGGGTATTTCAAAAAAATAAAATACTGACACTTTCTGTCAGGGAGGCAAACAAAGATCTGATATACACACTCCAAGAACTCCCTGACATTGAAGGATGCACAAAAACCACAATTGATGACCTTTGCAACAGAGTCAATAACTTGAAATAAACTAATGAGATTAAAATGATGACAAAACTATAACTCAAAATGTAAGAATGAAGTAAGACCAGCAATGAAGACCTTGGTCCCCGCAATTGATGAAATTTGGATTAAATAATCCATTTCTCAGATCCATAACAGAAAGAGGTTCCATAACCATATAATGAGATATGAACTTCAGATTTACAAATGACGGGATTGTCCTCATTAAAAAACGACATGTAACAGAATAACTGTTACTTCTATTGCATGGTTAAGATGAAGATTGTCAATAACTTGGAACTTATCTGGTAAAACTATTATTCACGTATGGCTTTCCGCAGGCACAGAGATTCAATATAACACTTCCCACAAATGAACCAAATTTTTTCAGAGGCTGAGGAGAAATACCCGTTTTTCAAGGCGCCTGAGCATTGCAGCATCCAGTTCCCATGGAAGGTTTGTTGCTGCCAAAACAAAAACTAGCTCTTCCGACCGTGTCAAACCATCCATCTGAAATCTAATTAGGATTATTAAGATTCAAAGCAAGATAGCAACCAGAAAGCTATGCACTCAAAACTATAAGCAAGTAAGAGATGATATTATCAGCTCTTAATATGAACATAGAAATTGCTTTCCTCGATTTCATTTAGATTCACATCATTTCCAGAGTAGATTAGTTGGGAAGCAAAACAGCAATAGTAACTAGTAAGCCTTTAACCTTCATAAATCATATCTCGTTGTGATACTATGTCAATACACTTATTCCCATTTAGATAAGAATAATTCATCCCTTTTTTAGAAAAAAACTCTTTTCAATTCTATTAAGCCTCACTTTCTCTTTTGATTGATTTCATGATTCTAATATTGAACTGCAAAAATAGTTGACTTTAACATTTAGGTCTATGTTTGGCATAATGTTCAGGTCTACAGAGGGCTCTGTTTGTATTTTCTTGTCATCAGTATTCCACAACAAGTCCAATCACAGCCAACAGTTGCCTGGCAACAATGACTTTCTAGGCCATCCGGTGTGTCCACCATTCCCATGTTAGTCGTTGCTTAGTGGAGAGATGGCTTGTACACAAATGTGAATTGGAAGGAAATCAGCTTTGACAGCAGGAAAAGGGCTTGAGGTGTAAAGGGGAGACACTGAGGTTCTTGCGCAGTTCTTACAACCTCGCTTAAAGTATCAAGGGATTGAGATAAAAAACTAAGTAATAAGGAAGGCTCAAAACGTATTTGCTCAAGCTGTCACAGGTCCAAGTTGGGTTTCAACTTGCTTTATAAACATTTTGTGCTCGGACGCCGATATTTGGCAACAGCAGGGAACTATAAAGGAATTCAGCCTAACAGAAAAGGAGAAAACATTTGATGAGCATTTCTTTTATAACTGTTATTTTTTTCGGATTTGGAGACAATAGTCGGGATTAAATTTTGATATGGTTCTACCAGCCTCCCTAATCTGCTTTCCACCTATTCAGAACCTATCACTTTTGAAAATGAATCATCTACTTATTACAGTTTGGTATCAGTGAATACCCAAATGACTTTGAACATCACTGAAATGCCCTTCAAAACAGCCACTCTTTAAACTAAGAAATGTATGAAAGTGGCTTCGGTGTGCAAGATAATCCAGAAAGGGACTTCGATCATAGATGGCAAGAATAACTCGTATATGATTTGGAGTAGTTAATGTGATACAGGGACACAAAAGTAAAAGAGTTTAACACAATTTTCCACCAAAATCTCTTGATGCACATATACAAAAGCATAAAAACACTACCAAAATCAGTACAGCAATCAAGTGTCACCTGTATAAGGAGCTCAGTTTTCAACCGTCTGCTAGCCTCATGTTCACTTCGCCCCTCTCCTCGTTGACTGATTATAGCATCAATCTCATCAAGAAATATGGTTGAAGGTGCATGATGTCTAGCAAGCTCAAATAATACTTTCACCAGCTTCTCCGAATCACCTGAAATTTTTCGCCACTTTAGTAAATTGAAAACTTAGCGTATATACAAAGTAGTACCTGAGAATAAAAACCTGAATCAAAGAGTGTAACTTCATACGTATGCTAAACGAACAATTTATATATGCTGATTATCATCACTCTTTTCATTTGGATTTTCACTCTTAAGTCTTAAGCACCATGACAACAGACAACCAGCCTCAACTGACAGTAACTAAACTTTAAAGTATTGCTTTAAGTAGAAAGATAGCTCATGGCAAGAATTTTGCATAGTCGATGTTGGCAAGATAAAGGTCCCCAAAAATACACACAAATATGACTCACTCTAGCTTTGTATCGAGGAACGAGTTCCTACAGCAATTGAACAGTTAAGTCAAATGTATGAATTTTTGATAATAAAGTAACCCTCAGTCTACAGTGTATCAAAGGCCCTCAATATTACAGACTACGAACCCATCAGGTAGTTTTAACGATTTCCAATGTGCATGCCCACATGACAGCTGGCTCAGCTTGGACGGACTGGGTAGCACCGCGTGCTAAGATCACTTTAATTTTTGTTATTTCTAATCAATCCAGACAAGTTCCTCAGACTCTCAAGCACTAAATTTGATTCAACACTTAAAAAAAATAAAGGGACATCCAGCCAAATCTTACAGCAGAAGTCAACGAACTCAAACATGACTTTAATAACCAAATAATCGCTAGTGTGTACCATAAGGTTGCTCAAATGGTAATAAGTACTTCGTTAACAAAATCCAGCATTTGTTTCACGAGTGTTAAGAAGATACGTCATTATTATCGGTCATAAGCTGAACTTACCACGCCACTTGCTGACAATTGAGGATGCAGAAATGTTGAAAAATGTCGTTTTGCACTCAGTTGCAACAGCTTTGGCAAGCATTGTCTGCAGGACAAAAGAATAAGTTTAGACATCAAATTAGCTACGAATAGAAGTTTCAGAAAAATTTTATTCATAAAAAATTAAGCAGATAAAAAGCAGTAACGAAATTTTTTAAAATCCGTTCATAAACTTGTAATTTCTAAAGGGCGACAGCAGACAAATGACTAAATCGACATATCCTCAAGCCTAACATAAAACTTTCAAAAAGCCAGTTAAAACCTTTTATCATTTTGTTATCAGAGGCAGACTGACAATACCCCACTCATTATGAAAACCATATGATCACATAAATCAATTAAGCCAAAATGTCACAGTAAATTGTCAATCCAAAAAGACTCATAAAACACGTTTCAGATAGAAAAGTGGTTTCAGCAAAGGCAGAATATCTTCAATAGTTCAATCAAATTTTGAAGGTAAGGGTAAACAGCCTCAAAGGACTCTCAGCAATTCCAGCATTCCCACAGAAAAGAATATTGAAACAGCAGCAGAATCCATAAGAAAATTCATAATATATGCATAATAATAGTTCTAAATTGAATGGATAACTGAAGCAACCTTTCCAGTTCCTGGAGGACCAAAAAGAAGAATCCCTTTCCAAGGTGACAGGAGACCAGTGAAGTACCTTCAATAACATGGAACGAAATGGTTAACCAAGTCAAGAAGAATCTCAAGCATCTTGCTTAACCAGGATCAAATTTTAAAATAACCAGAGCCCTTCTGGTGTCAGTCTTGATATAGGAATGAGCTGATAGCACCAGAACAGACAAATTTTCATTCTTCTCAAAGAAATCACAAACCAAGAAACCATAATCCACACTTACTTGGGATATTTAATCGGCATTACGACTGCTTCTTTTAAAAGGCGCTTAGCATTTTCCAAGCCCTTGATAGTTTCCCATTTAACATCAGGACTACCACGGATGATATCCCTGAATTAAACAATGCAGACAAAGTAAGAGCAATATTATGCCCTTTGTGGGAAAAAGAGTAGCAGATTAAACCAGCACATCAGCTAATCTGGTGTTCTCAAATACCTGCTCAAGCTTTCGGCTAGATTTCGCATTTCAACTGATTCAAAAGGAGGAAGCAAGGGTCTTTGCCTGAAAAAAGAACTTCAATTTCTTATCAAGAGAATATATGCAGAACAAAGAATGCAGTTGTCACAATCGTGTACACTAACAGTTGATGCTCTAGAAAACATCACTCAAAATGTATTGTGCCACAGTATTGCATCCACATAATTTGCAAATACTCCTCGTTGTTGATATAGAGAATAATTTATCATAGTTAATACTCCCTCCGTCCGAAACTATTTTCCATTTTGGTTTTTCATTTTTAGTATAAATTATACTAGAACTGAAATCAAAACCAGACAATAATTATGAGAGGGAGTACTACAGTACAAGATTATTCAACACAAACATTCACAGACACATCAGCCAAAATATTGCCAAATAGAGACATGGCAGGTTTCTATACTCAAGCAAATTCCTTCCCCCAATCTTACAGATGCAGAAATTCAATCAACAAGGGTCCATTTGCACTCCTATAATTAAGTCTATGCCAAAATGGAATTACATGCTTGACTTAGGACATTGAAATAATTAAATCCGAAAAAGAAACATTTACAAGGTGAAAGACGTTCCACAATCCACAAACATAAATGGTTAAACGGTTGAAAAGGGGGAAACGACAAAAGTACACCCCTAATGAGATCTGTTGGGTGGCAATGATGAGGGTTTTGACCTGATCTAAAATTCAAATGAACCGAGGGATCATACATTTTACAATCAAAATTTTCTCATTTTAGCTCTCCCACAGTCACTCTACACAATAAAGGAAAACAGAACTTCGAGCACATCATATCAGTACTAAAACATACGGGGCATCAATTCCAGCAGATGATACTCCATTATTGTTTGCCAAGCTCCCAGTACCCTAAAAGATCAGGTATTTCAGCAATATTAACTAGATTTCAAGGATATATAAAGATCTGTAAGAGCCATAAAATAACATGTACCTGGCTTTGAAACTGCTCGTAAATGGCCAAATCAGATTTTGCCTTGCCATGGCTGTTCCTTTCGGCAGTACCATTTGAATAGTTGCCATTAGACCCATTAGACACCACTCCATTGTGATCATCCCCCTCCTTGGTATCAGGAGCTTTCTTCCTCCCAAACTTCATATCATAAAACAACTTAAAATCCTAAAATGTACAAAAAGAACATTATCTGATAAATATCAACTAAATTTTTTCACGCAAATCCACCGTATTCTCATTAATTTTAGTAAGATTGACCCAATTACCCAGCTTTTCAATAAAAGTAAAACACCACCTGAACAGTTCAGTTGATTAATAACAACTAGATTAACGAAAATAATGGAAAAATGGTCAAGGACGATGACAAAATTAAAAAACACGTTCAACTACAATCAGAAATGTTTTGTCAAACCAACCAATCCAATCATCACCTGGAGGAAAAGTAATCTTAGAAAGGGAAAAAGCCAAGTAAGATTTTAACCAAAAAGTTGTAGACAACTATAATAGCGACAGTGAAATAAATCAATGGTTCAATCACAAGCAAACAGAAAAAATCCAAATTATACACGGATTCAAGTCAAGGCAAAACCATCAATTTTTAAAGATCAAGCAAGACCGAAATGAGTCGCACTACTCAGCCATGATTCACAACCGGAAACAAAATACACCGGAAATGCATGCCGCAAGGTAAAGGAAGATGACGAAGAGCTGTCGAAGAATTAACATCTGAACACAAATTCAAGGAATTTCTTCTACTCTTGAGTTACTAAAACTAAATCATTTTAACTGAATTGAATTTTCCACAGAAGTTAAAAACATTCATCGTTAGAATGCAAGCAAAGTTCTCACATATTACACTAATATAGTACTAGAAGAACATCGAATTGTGTATAGCATTAAATCAAATGTGATTTTTTTTTTTTTACTTCCAGAGAAGAGAAGCCAAGAACTCAGCCAAAATTACCTGAAAAGTCCAGCGAGTGAGGGAAGGCTCGTCCGCCATTTCAGCTTTCTAGTAAACTCCGATACGAAAGAGAAGAAGAAAGAAGAAAGAAGAAGGAAAAGAGAAATCGATCGATTCGATCTCCCTCTCTCTTCCTTTCTTTCTCTTCCTGAAAGTCTTGTTCTTACACACCCAGAAATTGTAGAATAGTGTATTGTTTTTTTTTTTTTCTTTTTAACTATTATTATTGAGTTCAGAGTTCAGAGAAGAGTGGGGAAGTTAGAGAAGTGGCGAGATTGTCCTATCTGGACCACGTGCTTACTTTGGTAACATTATTAACGTTGTATTTAAGTGTCAGATTTTCCCCAAATTTTCAAAGTATGTTTGGTTTCCTTTATTTTTCGGGTTTTTTTAAACAATAATTACCCCTCCATTCGATGCGTAATATTTCACTTTCTTTAACTTTGCTATGTGTATAATTCTTGACAAATAAACTATCGCCTTTCATAAAAATAATTTTAAATCATATCCCTTTCATTAATTTGAACGGTTGTATTCCTCTTTAACCAAATTTTCTTTTTCTTTTTTTTTTCACTACTTTTTGGCACCATACTTGTCATTTTCCTTTTCAAAATACAATAAAACCTCTATAATGTAATCTTTTATTCATTAATAATTTTTATTAAATAATATTTTTATTCTGTTTCAACCCAGAACCCTTTAAAAAAAAAATGTCAGTTAATTTACAAGATAATATTTTTTTCAAGAATCTCCTATAGAAATATAGGTCCCTACAATTTCATAAGTCAATAAATACATAAAATAAACATTTAGATTTGAAGATTAGCTTAGATTTTAAATTAAGTATTTTTTTATGTTTGCAACTATCATTATTTTATTCTGTTAAAAAAATTATAATAATGTAAATAGGGTTACAAATGACTTTCTTGATATGAAAGCAATACTTTTTTTATATTTTTTTCTTAATAAGACTGAAAAAAAATCTTTAAATAATAAATTATTAATTTATTGATAAGTTAATAATTCTTAATTTATTACTAAATTAATAACTCTATAAATTAATAAATTTTGGAGGTCTAAATGTATTAATTTATTGAGGTTTTAGTGTGTACATTAGTTAGTTTTCTTTATTTTCAATTTTTTTTCTTTTAAAAAAATACACCTCCATTAGATAATATTTTTAATCGTCAACAATATGTATAATCACATAATGTGTGGTTTGGTTGGGTAGCTCTTACTTTAATTGCTTTTAATTTTAAAATTAATAGTGAAAGAAAGTACTTACATTTAGTATTATTTCTTTTTGTGTGTCCTTCAACTTCATTATCATGAACGATATTCAATCATCATATGTATTTTCACTTATTTATAAATTTCTTTTAAAGTGAATTAATAAATCAAATATTCTCTCTGTCCCAAAATTATTGTCCACTTTAAGATTTCACTTTTAGTACAATTTGAACTACAAATGAAAACCCAAAGTGGCCAATAATTATGGGACGGAGGGAGTAACTAATAGTCATCTACATCTTTTTGATAAAAAATTTTCATAACTTATTAAGACAAGAAATGAAGAGTGTCGATATTTAAAATTCTAACAGTTAAATCATCTTCAATCATCATCATCAACGTCAACATATATAATAATTAGGGTATGTTTATGAGATTTTTGTAGACCTTGTGTGTTTTTCATGCATGTGGCTTCTATATTTCATTTTTACATTTATTTTTCAAAGATCTTTTTTTTTTATTTCACTCAATAAATAGAGTGATTACTAAAGACAAAAATCTAGTGGCATTCTTTCTCCTGTTTCCAGTTTTGTTATCGACTTTAGTTCTTTTTCATTAATTTCTTCTAAATTCTTGATGTCTTACAACCATTTTATAATAATTTCGGTTATAGAACACGTTATAAATACCACTTTGTAATCATCAAAATTCTTCCTATTTTTATGTTTCATGTCTTTCATCGCTACTTTTCTCGCTAGTTTTTCCATTCCTCTTTTTTCTTCGTCATATGTATATACTGGGCGGGTGAGCTGCACGTTTGCAGTCTACAATATGTAGTAGCCGAGTGTTTGGGGAATGTTTTTGTTGTGTTTTGGGAGATTAACAAAGTATAAAATATTGAGTAAAATGCTTAAATGGTCCTTTACATTTGATAAAAAACTTCTTTTGGTCCTTTACATTAAAAATTCATTGGTTTGGTCCTTTACAAATGTATTATACACTAATTTAATCTGTATTACCTTTTTTTATTCTTTACATTTGGTGGTTCTCGGGTTGACCATTTCTTCGTCAAGTCAATAGGGGTATTTTTGGTAACTTTTAATTCTCAGATTTTTAAAAATAATATAAAAACAAAAAGTTGGTTAAAATAATATTGAACATTTTATATTAACTTTATAATTAAATATTAAACAACGAAAAAAATTTAAAATTCAAAACTGATTTCTTCTTTATCCTTAGTCTGCAATTTTTTTCTTATCTCCCTGATCAAACACCCAACCTAATTCCCAAACCTCTCAATCTGATATTCAAGAAGAAATTGAACTAATAGTAAAGAAGAAAAAAAAATTCAAGAAGAAAAAAACAATATAATGTTTAATATTATTTTAATCAACAGGGATATTCAAGAAGAAAAAAATTACAGACTAAGAGTAAAGAAAAAATCATGCGTGGCCTACAAGATGAAAAATAATAACTCAAATTTCGGAAAAATAATTTTCAATTTTTTAACAATTAATTATAAAATTAAAATAATATGTTTAATATTATTTTAATCAATTTTTTTTATTTTTATCATTTTAAAAATTTAAAAATTAGAAGTTACCAGAATACCCCTATTGACTTGTCCAAGAAATGGTCAACCCGAGAACCTCTAAATGTAAAGGGTCAAAAATAGTAAAACAGACTAAATTAGTGTAAATACTATGTAAATGACCAAACCAGTGAATTGTTAATGTAAAGGATCAAAATAAGTGTTTTTTCAAATATAAAAGACCATTTGAGCAGTTTACTCTAAAATATTTAATATACGTATAGATACATAGAGGAACCCACGTCCGCGCATACACATACACACACACACACACACATATATATATATATATATATACATATTAAAATTTAAATATGTACATTCATCTATCTATATATTACATGAAAAGACAATTGAAATTTATATAAATACATATGTATGCTGATTTTATGACGAAGTTGTCAGGTTGAGTAGGATTCAGTTCAACTTCGATTGTGGATGTGCTTTCTGACAGGAGAAAGAGACTCCATTCTATGTTAAGTACTGTTTTTAAGATATATTTTCAGCTTGGGTAGGAAAAAATCTCTTCAGAAGTTCATCAACTTCTTTTTCAGACATGGAATTATATGTGCACTGTCCATAATGAATACAAGTGTACTGTTAATTTCATTGTAATGTCCATATTTGAGAAGTGGTGAGTAGAGTTTTGGTAATGTTGGGGGATAGGTTCATGTAAGCAGGGAAGTGAAGAAATAAAGAAATTTTGTGGTTTCAAATTGAGATTTATGAATTTATATGTGAATTTATTAGTGCTGAGTAGGATGCATATGTGGCAAGTTTGGGAAGTTTGGTTGACATAGGTGAATGTGGGAGGTGACAAGTAATGATATCAGAGACACGTGCAAGGAAAATAAGTGTAAAGAATGTGTGTAATTTCACTAATGTGTAGCGTGAGTGTTTTTTAGTTGCTAGTTGATATTTGCTCATAGTGTAGTTTTTTTTATTTATGTTGAAAGATTTTGTGAAATAAAATTAGAAAAGATGGATGTTCATGAAGCGCTGCAAGAAATAGAACATTAGAGTTTTCTTTGGTAAACCCGATTCCTTACAGGGTAAATTTACAAGTTGATCACATGCATCTACAGGAAGAATATGTAGGTATGCGGTGGGAAATATGTGAATTGTTTGATCGTTTTCTGTGTAGAGGTGAATGGAATTTAGTACTTGAGGAAGTTTTAAGACATGGAGGGCCACTTGCTAGTAGAAGAAATGAAAAAAGAGACTGGGAGATTGCCGGTTAGGATGCAAAATTAGGAAACCGCGACGATGGGAGCTAATGTTACATCAATGGAGGATGTGGATTGATGGTCAGTTTAGTTTAGGATTTTTTTCGATATAATAGTGCTTAGTTTTCTTTTATAATTTTATTGGTGTAATTTCTTTTTTTTTTCTATTGGTTTTGTCTAGTTTTTTAATATTTGTAATGGTGTAATTTCCTTTTTTTCATCGATTTTATACTATAATATGGTGTAATGTTGTTTTGGTAAATGAAATGGTTTTTAAATTTTTTGATGCCTTATTGCCTTCTGTTAAAGGTTTGGTATCACCAACATAATATTGATTTTGTCATGAATCGTAGCAAAAATAGTGTTTCTTTGTACGACAAAAGAAAGACTTAGATTTGGATTAAGATGTACAATTATTATGAGACGAATATTTTGCAATTGAAGAGAAAGATAAAACTATTTAATATATATATATATAGGGTTTATAAATTTAGAACATATATATACAATCAGAGTCGTATTACATACAAGGAGCAAAACGTGTAAGAAGTATATACATGTGCAAAGGTGATTCCTAAAAACTGAACCTACGTTCTCACTATATATATCAGCAAAATGTGTAAGAACATATTACGCACATGTACAAAAGCAAGCCCCAGAAAGTGGGAGTCATGTTCTTACCGAATGAGAACATGTTATATGTACATAGGTGACTCCCAAAAGGTTAATCCAGAGTCATCAGTAGTTGTAACTCATTAGTCCTATTTGTTAATTTGCGTGCAAGTTTTGTTGGTGGTTGAAATTCTATCTTTGTTGGTGAAGTTGGATAATCTGAACTGTCTTTTCCCGAAGCAAACTGCTTTTCAGTTGTAGATGCACTTGTTTCATCTACAACCATTGGTGCTAGTGCCATTGCTTTTCTTTTGCTGGTTGACCCTTGGTATTTTCCTTCGGAGGTCTGTGATGTTGATGTAGAACCAGTGTATGGTAGCATGATGTAATCGGGATGTGTTATCTCCAGAATATCCTTTTGTAATTTGTACAAAAAAAAAAAAAGAACCAGTGTATGGTAGGAACTCTAATATAGTGTATGTTGTAGAAGTTGTTTCTCGGAATGTTTTGTTGTATGTTCTGATGTGAAATAGTAAGCGTTGGTTTATGAACTTCTCATTTATCATACCAGTGGTCAACTGTCATCCCTATATTAAAGGAATGATAAAAATAATAAAAGATGATGATAGATGGTGATATAATGAAGTTACGTATAATGGAGTGTACCTCTTTTTTGGCTTTCAGTAAATTTTCAACTGACATTTGAAGTACACTTTCAGCTTGTTTATTTTCTATGATAGCATCTAAGGAGTCCGTTCTGTCAAATAAGTTGACTGCAAAACATAACCTATATAAAGATACTTAGATTTTTTGGGGAAATGTATAAGAAAAGGGTAGAGAAGTTAAGCAACGGAATAGATGAAAAAGTCACTTACAGTGGTTTTGGGACTGGAAAATATTCAAGGCAATAGAAGCATTTAAACTCTTCTTGATTGTCTGCTCCACATATATTTTTGCAATTTGGACATGTCTTGACGTACAACGATTAATTTGATTTTGTAACTTCCAACATGCCGGTAGTCCAGAAAGATTTCACCCGTAATTGACAATGGATTAATGAGTATTTGATTCTTAATTGTTGCAAAATGAATAATGTCTGAAAGAAGTACATAATAAGTTACCATGTCAATTAAGCTTTTGATCTGGCTGATTTTTCTTATTTTTGAACTCAACGGTTATTGCACTTCTCTGTTCTTTGTTTCATAAAGTTTTTCAGAAATGACCCTTTCTGCGTATTCAATATTCTCTTTTCCCCTGAGATAATTGAAGTTGGAAAATTGGTTGTCACAATCTGACAGTGAAAAATGTATGTTGGTAAGTGGACTAAAAAAATTGTAGGAAAAAGTGTATAAAAGATGTGCAAGTGGAATAAGAAATGAAGTTACTAGATATGTGTAAATAATAGGATTCTAAATAAATTTTAGTAAGAATATAAAGGAGCATTTGCCATATATTAAGGTCCTCAGTTTCTGGGGTCAGAGGATCAAACAAGATTACACTGTTGAAAGATGTCCTGACAGACATACCAGTATAAGGTTGAAAACAATGGTTAAATAAGCTACGTGAATTTGTGTTTTTTTGTTATTGATAAAAGAATATTAGGTATAAGTAAGACAACTGTAGAAAAACAATTAAAATCAATTAACTTAAGATGGTTTGTGTCACTTGGTCTTCCCAATTTGGCATATACATTTAAGTTGTATTGTGAAAAACAGTGTGAATAAGAGATAAATATTTACTGTAAAAGGTATTAAGAAGGAATCTCATTGCCAATATGGTGGGTGTTAGACCCTTTTAAACTATGTAGCAGAAAAAGGACCTAATTGGCGTGGAATTCCCTTAGCTCGGAAACCACCAGCCCGCTAGAACACTCAAAGGCAGCAGAAGGCTTCGTTCTAGCAACGTAGCAAAAGTATTTTGTTACCAATTCACAAGGATTACTTTGAATTGAAAAGGAGACAATCAAATGATGGGTGATAGCCCCGAATCCAAGGTAATTTCATACACTTTATCAAGAATTACAAAGGATTTCGTCCCACATATCTAACACTTAGGAATTTATACAACTCATTTGTGCTCAAACTGGAAAATTAGTCTGTCACTCTAATTTTCCCCCCTTTTCCTTAAAATACAAGTGTTAACAAGTATTTATAAGCCCGTGATTGACATCCCAAGCACCTAGGATCAAACTAACATGATGAAAACGGTTACAACTTAAATTATAAGCACATCTGCCACTACTTGTAACTTTCGTCAACCGTCCACCACCCATTGTACACGATCTCCTGCAAGCCTCAACATTTTCCCGCCGACGATCGAAATACAGCTGGACAAAACGTGCGAGAGTAAGTTATAGGCAAACATAACCTCCTAACAGTGGGCCTGTTGTGAACACTCTTTGTCAAAAGAGGTGCTTCATTGTCTAGAAACTCTTGCCATAGAGTCAGAATCATAGGTTCACACCTGCGATATGTAGAAATTGCACTTTCAGTTTTAATAGCGATAAAATTGACTAACTGAATCCATAATTCAAACAAAATCTTAAGATTGTGAAGGATGCAGGTTTTAAACAGTTCGAAATTGATATCATAGGTTAACATTACTGAGATATAAACGTGTCTTCTAGTAAGTACAAAAAATCCAAAATAGTAACTACTAACATTAGCAAAGCTTACAAAGTGGAAAATTTTATTTACAAAAGGTCAATACTATTTTGGTTATACCAGTTTCTACTCAATGGCACTCATTATTACTTTCATGTACATGTTAATATTACTGAGATATAAATATGCCTTTTAGCAAGCAAGAGAAAATGAGAAGGAGCGTTTTAACTAATAATATTAGAAAAGTATACAAAGTGGAACTCTATTTACAAAGAGTCAGTGCTATATTGATCATACCAGTTTCTACTCAGTGACACTTATTGTCACTTTCATTTACTTTAAGAGAGAAGACAATTAAGGTCAATTTATAAGTCTACAGAAAGTGCACACACAAAACAACTAAAAACAAGTGAAGAAAAGAACAAAAGTATTTCTAGATTGATATAGAATTAATTCATCTAAAGGAGGGAGGGAGGGAGGGAGGGAGGGAGGGAGGGAGGGAGAGAGAGAGAGAGAGAGAGAGAGAGAGAGAGAGAGAGAGAGAGAGAGAGAGAGAGAGAGAGAGAGAGAGAGAGAGAGAGAGAGAGAGAGAGAGAGAGAGAGAGAGAGAGAGAGAGAGAGAGAGAGAGAGAGAGAGAGAGAGAGAGAGAGAGAGAGAGAGAGAGAGAGAGAGAGAGATGACTTACTCTTTTCTAACTATTACAAATTCCTGCAGCTTTTTGCCATCTTTAGTGGTGTGTGGTGCAAAAAAATGTATGACGGCACAAAGCAGATATGAGATATAGAAGAAATCATATAAATTAAGTTTTTCAGGACCAACAATGAAATTAACAACTAATTATGTATGTCTATATTTTTATATACTGGATATAAAGGTAAGGAATGTAGACTCAGCTGAGTTTTTCATTTGTATCCATGAGACTAGGAAGTTCTTCAAACCGTGTCACATCATAAACCTCTTCAAGAGATAGTTGTTCTTCTTTGTTTGCTAATTTGATATATGCATTTTTAGTTAAGATTATCTGATGGTCTAGATCAACTAATAGAGCTGTACTCTTTGGAATTTCCTTGATTGTTCCATTCCCAATGGAGTAAGTGTGGAAAAGCTGAAGTTCTTTGCCTAGTTGTCTGAGATGTGGTTCGAAAGTAGTACACTGTATTTTCATCAATTGTAAATAAATGAATAAAGCATATAAGAATCGATAATTGTGTATGTAAATATGTAACTTTTATTGAATAGAGCGTACCTGTTTATCAATGAAAACATACTTCTGTTGCAAGTTGACCCACTTCAGCCTGATAGGTGTCTTCTCAGATATTAATGCCTTAATGTACCAGTTCTCAATCCTTGGCTTCAGATTTGCAATGGGTACACATCTGTCCTCTGTGGATCTGGGGAATGGAATTTCGTACGAGACAAGTATTGTCAATATCATAGATGAGAAAGGTATTATCAATATGATACAATACAAGTGGTACAAATTTAAAATTAAAAAGCATTTGAAAAAGATTTAGAAGTAAAGATGTGTGAAATTATGTTGAACGTAATAAGTACAGTACAAGCTTACCTATTTAGATAATTGTAGCTGAAAAGATAGCATTCATTGCATGTTAATAGCAGTCAGAACTTTTTGATAAACAACATTTTTCGTGTAGTCAATATTTCGTATCAATGGTGTTGGTTGTCTAATGAGTATTTTCAATTGTTTGATTGTTCTTGCCCTTGATAATGCAACATAAAGTTGGCCAGGTGAAAACAATGGCTCTTTCAAATAAACACCAACAAAGTCCAGAGTTTGACCTAGTGCTTTGTTTATTGTCATTGCAAAACATAATATTATAGTTAATTGTTTTCTTTCGAATGGAATAGATGAAAGAACATCCCGTGGGGCTTCAAATGTTATTTGAGGAATAAATACAGGTTTTCCTACATATGGACCAACTGATATTTCAACATAAATAACACTGTGATTTTGGTGCATTTATTCCAATAGTAATTTATGAGGAGGAAGGCCCATTGGTGTCAAAGAATGAAATACCTCTTCTTGATTTGGCAATTTGCAAAAATTCATACCTTCATCACAGCTTAGATATATGGTAGCTTCTCCTAGAAATCTATAAATCAAAACACTATTAATGTCATGAACAAACTCATTTCTTGTAGTAATTATGGCTCGTTTTACAAAATATGCACTATCAGAGATATTAATAATGTTTGGAAATACATCATCTACTAAAGTGTTAAGTGATATAACATAATCTTTGAAGTAAATGTTAATATTTGGTGGAATTTTGATTTCTCCTTTTTCATTTGTATTTTCATGTCCATTACCAATTCTCAGTAAATATTCTGAAAAATCATAATCAAGTAAAGCCCTCATATTATGTTTTAGTTTTATTTTCTCAAACTTGCTCCATAAAGATGACATAACAATAGAAGCATCAATTATATCATTCTTTGACCCTTTAAGAACCACCGGTAATGTCTGGCAAAAATCACCACAAAAAACAACAATTTTTCTACCAAAAATTTTATTTGGGTTGATTATATCTCTAAGCATTTGATCCAACTTTTCAATTAAAGTTCGTTTTGCCAATGTAGTTTCATCCAAAATGATTACTTTTGTTGTCCTAAGTAAGTAGGCTAATGTGCTTTGTTTGCTAAAACTACAAGGTTAAGAACAATCGTCATGTAAAGATATGTTAAATCATGAATGTGATGTATGTTCTCCCGGAAGTAAAAATGTTGCTACGCCGAATGTAGCAGTATCAAGTGCAATTTGTTTATTAGATCTAATTGTTGTTAGCAATGCTCTGTAAAAAAAGTTTTTCCTGTACCTCCAGGTCCATCTATGAAGAAAACTTTGTGCATGGTGTTATTAACAGAAACATATAAAGAGGATCAAACAAACAATAATAACGAAATTCCTGCCATCTTAATTTTTTTGATTACCGAAATAAAAATAACGGAGAACAAACAACAACATATATCTTCTAAATTTAAATAACCTCAAATTAAATTGTTACTGACCTCAATTTATATGAATAATTAATAAGAGTTCGACCCTTAAAACGACAGCTTCTGCTTTGATAAGTAATGACAACTAACATCTCCTTAAAGTCAAAACTGATTGGTGAATAATGATACATCTAGTTCACTCCCAGCAACAGATCCACCCCTTGAGAAATGTCATTGAAATAGCAATCAAAGCTGAAACCAGATTCCCCAAAGGACTGCTCAACACAACAAGTTTTTGAAGCATGGTGCATTCGGCTATCCACCCCACCAAAAAAAGAATTCCTATTGGTATTCAATCCAAACTTCTTAACAATTGACGAACTAACAAAAGACATCTTTGATGCAGTATCAAAAAGTACATAGAATTTTTCATTAGGATACCCTCTTAAAAGCTCTGAGATAACAATACAAATCCTTGGTGGCAATTCAGACAAAGCACACGAAACCCTATGGGCAGTAGGTGTTTCTAACCGGTATCCTTTCAAAGTGTATGCCCGACCATCGACATGCATAGTAACAGACGCTACCTTGTAGTGACAAATGACAAGACTGTAGGCAGCCATCCAATCTACACCCAACACAACATCGATACCTCCACCTTCACCAACACTATCGGCTACAAAAAGTTCCACCTTCTTCTGAAATAAGAGATCGGAGCATGACCCTCCACCTCCATCAAACTTCAGATCTGCAAGGCAACCCCAACTCATAGCCATATTTACATTACCAGGAACTGTAACAACCTGAGGGGATGAAAGCTCTTTAATAGTCAAAGAGAGAGAAGACCAACGTAGACTTATAGACAACATTGCATACAGAAGCGGTGTCAAGAAGGATACAAATATCCTGATCTTTGATATTCCCTTGGAGCATAATTTCATATTCTAGCTGTGGATTCAAAGTTCCAACTCTCAGATATGTCATAGCCATTGGAGCAGAGCAACCCTAATTTTTTTAATTTCGCTCAGATTGTGGGTAATTTAGCATAGCCGATTTGTTTTCCTCCCAACCCATCGTGAAAAACTAAACAGTGGTGATGAAGAAGAACACGATCGACCATCCTACGTTTGATTTGTGTGATTTTCATGTCCATGTCAATCCCCACTCCTTCAATCTATTTATAATTCCAATCAAACCAGGCAACCAAAAGTAAATAACTTTTTCTTGACAATGAATTATGGAGTAATGGCAAAGAGGGATATGCACATGCTTTTGCTTACTACATGGGGCCAACTATATATATATATATATATATATGTATGTATGTATTCTATAACTTGATTTTGCATAGTACACATTGCAGAGTTAACATCGTGCAGTTGGTGAAAGTTGGTGAAGAGAAGTCAAAACTTGGATCAAGTGAGTATTTCTTTCACTTATCACTTTTTTTGTCGTGACATGTAGGACATGCTTTTTTGATGCATTGAATTTGTTTGCAAGTATTTATGAAACTAGTGATGTTTGAATATGACTGATTATGGATGATACATTTTTTTTCTTTCATTTTTATGCATGATGCCAATCGATGTTCTTTTAATAAACAAATACAATTTGATGCATGCTCATGTTTTGTTTTTTTATTAAAGATTATATGTGATGTATGCTATGTAATGGTCATTTTTTTAATGATATTGTGATGAAATGCATGTGATATTTTTTTCTAAATGATTTTATGTGATGCTCCAAACCTTACTTCTCCTTGCTGGTTTTTGATGTGGTAAATACGATACCATTAGTAGTTGATTATGTCACGTTTTAGTGGTGAATTATTCTAAACCTTATTAAATTTGAAAACCTAGATGAGAACCGACCAACAATGGATGTATGAGAGATATTTAGAAGGGAGTAGGTCTATAAATCCAGAAATTTTTGGTAGAGTTGAGTCATTCATTGAATATGCTTGTTCAAAACCTGCTTTTATGGATATTGACAAGATAAGGTGCCCTTGTAATAGATGTAAGAACAAAAGATATGTTTTACCCGATGATATTAAGCTACACCTTCTTAAGAAGGATTTCATTAACGATTACAATGATTGGGTTTGCCATGAAGAAGAACCAAGGGTGGGAGTTCATCGCAAACCCATCACAATGAGGGAAATCTCTTGGTATCAAACACGTATCGTGACATGGTCATAGATGTGATTGGTCCTAGCTTTGACCCACACTTTGGGGAAAGTCATGCTAATGAAGAACCTCCCGACCCAAAAACTCAAAACATTGTGTCACGGCCGTTTTCCCGTTCACGGGTTAGGCCGTCCCTTTCCCACGTTTGTGGGGTTTGCTGCCAAATGGGTCGTTTCTTTAACCGGGATAAGGAATGGAATGTTCTAGAGCATGCTGGAAAACTCGGGTCAAGTCCACGCGGAATTGGAATTCTCTGGAAGCAACCGGGCTTTGCTGGAAATGTGGGGGAGCTTCCCGAGAGTTTCTGGAACCTTCCCGAGGTTTGCTAGGTCGGCCGGGAACGGGCTGGAGAATTCTAGAATTCTTTGGAATTCAACACTTAGAATATTTTATGTATAGAATTCCCTAGAAACTTGTATATTTTAATACTTGTATAGAATTCTCTAGAATTCTATGGACTTGGGGACTTTGTCTATAAATACGTCAACCCTTTCTCATTTGTATCCATCCTTTGTTTGAGTGAAGCATTCTCAAGCATACTTCAAGATCTCCATTCTTTCTTTCTGCCTACATTGTTCTTAGCTTTCTTAAGCTTTCTTTGCCTACGTTCTTTGAGGCTTTGCCTAGCTTTGCACGAATTGTGGGTCTTAAGGCTGAGCTAGCACGGTCTCGTTGGTTGTTTAAGTGCTAGTGCCGCACAGCCGTTACTTTGAAGAAGTAAGTCCGTGACAGTTAGTATCAGAGCTTTGGCTCGATACTTGGTGGTGCATCATCGTTCTACGCTTCCGTTTGTTGCTACTTTCGTGCATAAGCTATGTCCAACCCTTTGGAGGTCGTTCAAGGGACAGAGCTTGAGGGGGATCACGTTTTCCGCGAGGTGGAGAGGGCCACCCGCAAGGGAAGCCGCAAGGAGAAGTCGGTCGTTAGGGAGCCGATGGTCGATTTCGAGAAACAGCTTGCCAAGCTAGAACTTACTGTGGCCGACCACCAAGACCGTTGGGATGAGCACCCCGAGGCGGTAACGGGGGTCGTCGAAGCTCGCATGGAGCGATTCGCGGGTGAATTGCAAGAGGTCATGCAGCAAATAAAGGATGACATGCTAAGGATGCTCAACAAGATGGTGGAACGTTGCAACAAGTCAAAGGAGGAAAGCCTTACTCGTGTTGCCGCCCTCCAAGACGACGTTAGCCGACTCGTGGGTGAGTTGGAGGCTTCTCGGGCAGAATCGGCGTGTCTTAAGGCACGGCTTGATGCCATGGCCGTGCAAGGGACAACCGGGGTCGTGGGGACGATTCCAAGGCTTGAAGCGCCCAAGCCGGACGAGTACAAGGGCAGCCGTCACTTGAGGGACGTAGAGAATTTTCTCTACAGCCTGGAACGGTACTTCGGAGCTATGAATATCATGGACGACTAGGTAAGACTCTTCCAAGCCTCTCTTTATCTTAAAGATAGTGCTTTATCATGGTGGAAACATATGATGAAACCCGTGGGGGACGGAAACCCGGTCTTCACCACGTGGGACGGTTTTAAGGACGAATTTAGAAAATATTTCCTACCCGTGGATGCGGAGGACGAAGCCCGGGCCAAGCTTTGTCGTTTGCACCATAGGGAAGGCCAAATCCGGGAATACGTTAAGGAATTTTCGGACTTGATGCTTGAAATCCCGGATCTCTCGCCCAAGGAGGCGTTCTTTACTTTCATGGAGGGTCTCAACCGTTGGGCCAAGCTTGAGCTACAACGGAGGAAAGTCCAAGACATCGATCGGGCGTTAAAGGTGGTCGAGTCGCTTGTTGAGTTCCAAAAGAAGGATAGCTCCAAGGACAAGGGCAAGAAGCCTTTCCAAGGCAAAGGTGGGGGAGACAAGGGGAAGTCTTCCACACCCGCGAAACCGGCAGCCGATTCTACAAAGCCGTCTTCGAGCAAGGAGACCAAGGGGGACAAGCCAAAGAAGTTCTAAGGATGCTTCTTGTGCGGGGGAGCACACATGGCACGTGATTGCCCGTCCCGTTCGAAGTTGGAAGCATTGGCGCAAGGGTTGTGCCAAGAAGAGGAGAAATTGGTCGCTGGCATGAAATGGCTAGACGCCGTGCATGCCAAGACCGAGACACGTCAAGGCCATCTTTACATGGAGGCGTCATTCGCGAGTGGGTCTAGATGGGGCATGCTAGACACGGGGGCCGACATGAGTTATCTCACGAAAGAGGTAGCCCGTTCGCTTGGAGTCAAGTGGACACCTAGCAAAGGCCGTTTCAAAGGCATGAACGGCGAATGGACGGGTCTTGTAGGCGAAGCTAGGGACGTGCCTCTTAAAATCGGCAACTGGTCAGGTACGGCTAATTTCTCCATTGCACCTATGGATGATTACGATCTTGTGTTTGACATGGAGTTTTTAGACCAGGTGAAGCCGATCATCATGCCAAGCAACAACACGATAGTGATCCTCCAAGGCGAGAAGCCTTGTGTGGTGAAGTTTAGGCGGGAAAATGAGATTAGCCCTTCCCAGCTGAACAAGGGGCTAAGACGGGGTGAACACACCTTTGCTGCCATGGTGTTTGAGGAGGAACCATGCACAGAGGAGCCGGCAAAGGAGGAACGAATCCCGCCTCCCATAGAACGAGTCCTTATCGAGTTCAAGGACGTTATGCCCGGCGAGTTGCCCAAGGGTCTTCCACCAAGGAGGGAGATTGATCATGCTATCGAGTTGGTGGATGGGGCGAAACCGATAGCCAAGGTGCCTTATCGTATGTCCCCTAGCAAACTAGAGGAACTCAAGGTGCAAATCAAGGAGCTACTTGAATTGGGTCACGCACGGCCGTCCAAGAGCCCTTGGGGCGCACCAGCTTTGTTTCAATGCAAGAAGGATGAGACACTTCGACTATGCATCGACTATCGAGCATTGAACAAGCTGACTGTGAAGAACAAGTACCCTATCCCACTTATAGAGGACTTGTTTGATCGGTTGCAACGGGCGCGGATCTTTCTAAGTTGGACTTGCGGAAGGGATACTATCAAGTGCGTATAGCACCCGGTGATGAACCAAAAACGGCCATGGTGACGAGGTATGGCTCTTATGAGTTTCTTGTTATGCCGTTCGGTTTAACTAACCCCCCAGCCACGTTTTGCACCTTGATGCAACGCGTGCTAGCCAATTTCATTGACAAGTTTGTTGTAGTATACTTGGACGACATCGTTATCTATAGTAACACAATGAAGGAGCATGTGGAGCATCTTAGAGGCGTTTTCCAAGTCGTTAGGGAAAACTAGCTCTATGTTAAAAGAGAGAAGTGTTCCTTCGGCCTTGAGGAGGTGTCGTTCTTCGGACATATCATCGGTGGGGGCAAAATCCACATGGATCCGGCCAAAATCAAGGCTATCATGGAATGGGAGGCACCCACGAAGCCAACGGAGCTGAGATCGTTCTTGGGGCTTGTTAATTACTATCGGTGGTTTATTGAAGGGCACTCCGCCATAGCCGCTCCATTAACGGATCTCTTGAAAAAAGGGCAAGCTTGGTGTTGGACACCAAAACACCAAACAGCGTTCGAGGCTTTAAAGGACGCCGTCACTCGAGAGCCGGTCTTAGCTCTCCCTGATTTTGAGAAACCGTTCAAGGTATGCACGGACGCTTCGGACTTCGCCATTGGGGGCATTCTCATGCAAGACACCCAATCGCCTATGAAAGCCGCAAGTTGAATGAGACTGAGAAAAGGTGGCCGACGCACGAGAAGGAGATTTTGGCTATAGTCCACTGCCTT